CATGGCCAAGTACTTGCTCCCTTGTCGTCCAGATTCAAGACCCAGAGAGCTCCTTGCTCTGGTCTGCCTCAGCCCCAGTTCTTGCAGCTCTTGTGGAATGAACTAGTGGATGGAAAAAATTCGCTCTTTCTTTCTCTTCTTCCTTCCCTTCTTCTCAATAACAATTTTAAATAAATAGTTTTAAAAGTCTTCCATATTCCAAACGTACCTAATTGAAAGTTGGCCATCTATTGTTGTCACAATAACTTTGCTCTGTCTACATAGATACTTTCGTTTGTTTGTTTCCAGTCATTGAGCCTAAGTGCTCTGATGTGGGATTAGGCATCTTATCTGCTGGGCTACACCTGTTCTTGATTACTGGATTTACATTATGTTAAATAAATGTTTCCTAAGTTTATTTGAAAGAGATATTGTCAGAGACAGAGAGACAGACTGAAGTCTTCTATCTACTGACCACTCCCTGTGGGGAAATAACTGCAGCTGGGCTGCTGTGAAGCCAGGGGCTGGGAGTGCATCCTAGTTTCCCTTGTGCGTGTGCCAGCTTCAGCTGCCTTCCCTGGCATGGTAGGAGGGAATTAAATCAGAAGTGGACTAACCGTGTCTTGAACTAATTCCAGATATGGGATGCCAGTATCATAAGCTGAAGCTTAGTCCCCTGTACCACAGTGCTGACTGCCCCTCCCCCCAATTTTACATTTAAATTAAGTGTATACACTGACACAGAACAGTTTTTCATAAGAAAGCTTCTTCCTGATAGGGTGTGTGCGTGTATTAGGGTCAGGGGAGGGAAAATAGAATATATTTCATTAGAATTCTATTATTTTAGGCCCAGCATAGTACCTAGCGGCTAAAATCCTCCACTTGCACTTGCTGGGATCTCATATGGGTGCCGGTTCTACCGGTTCTAATCCCAGCAGTCCCGCTTCCCATCTAACTCCCTGCTTGTGGCCTGGGAAAGCAGTCAAGGATGGCCCAAAGCCTTGGGACCCACATGTGTAGGAGACCTGGAAGAGGATCCTGGCTCCTGGCTTTGAATCAGCTCAGTTCTGGCTGTTGCAGCCACTTAGGGATGAATCAATGGACAGAAGATCTTCCTCTCTGTTTCTCCTCCTGTCTGTATATATAACTTTCCAGTAAAAATAAAATAAATCTTTAAAAAAAAAGAATTCTTATATCTTCAGGAATAATTTAAAGAATCAGTATAATTTTGGGCCAGATTTATACCACTGAAATGTGTGAGCCTTGCCTGCTCTGTGACGTGATTGCACTCGGGGAGCCTGGAACACAGGCTGAGGATTCCTACTGTCTCCGTCCTGTGGATGTTTTTAGCACAGGGAGCAGCTACTGGACTTAGTTTTGAGTCCAGTTCTCATTCAAAAACAGGTGTTGACTATTGACTTCAAACCTTTGGATCTTCATTTTTAATTATTCTTTTTTAGCAATCCTGGTTTAAGTTTTCATCAGTGGATTAAATGAATACTTCCCATCACAGGTATCCACTTTTGGTGTCAAATATGATTAAAATATTCCTGTGTTTGAAGTGGAAATTGTTCATAGTAATGGACTACTGTGTGTTGATAATTATTGAAGCTAACACTGGGTTTCAGAAAGATATGACTATTTTTATGGGACACAAGCTTGAAAAATACATTTTTCCCTTTCCTCTGTAGTTCAGATCTAAGGCATTCTCATGGTAGAGGATGAATTAATGGCTTCTTTTAGCCAGCACTGGAATGAGCAGTTTCATAGACTTGTTCAGTGAGCTGTTTGCTATCTTCCCTACCCGTAAGGAAAGCTACTGAAATAGGAAAAACATGCTTGAATTTTATCATACACGGAAACTCTACCCTTAAGCTAATACACAGATGTAAGACACTTGTTGTGTCTGATCTATTTTGGTGGCAATTACTTATATAAACTAGATCTTAATCTTAAATCCTAAAGCAAATTAAATTAGTCATCTTTGGGGAAAGATCTGCTCCTTTTTTTTCCCCTCAAGATTTTTTTTTTTAAATTTAGAAGACTGAAAGGCTGAGCTAGAGCACAAGAGAGATCTTCTGCCTACTGATTTACTCCTCAAATGGCTGCAAAGGCCAGCCAGAAGGGGGCTGATTTGGAGCCAGGATGTCCTGGGGATCTCTCAGGTAGTTGACAAGGGCCCAAGCAATTGGGCCATCGTCTGATGCTTTCCCAGGTGCATTAGCAGGAAGCTGGACGGGAAGTGGAGCAACTAAGTCTCAAACTGCTGCGCCCGTTGGGATGCCAGCGCTTGCAGACAGCAGCTTTGCTCACTGTGCTGCAATGCCAGCCCCCCATTCTGACTTAAGAGACAATGTGTAATTACATTGAGCAAGCTATTGGTGAAACAAGGAAAAGATTCTGGAGATGACTTAATGTTTAGAAGAATTGTTTTTAGTTTTGATTGAGGCACTAATACCTCCCTCTTGGAGCAGGGAATCAAAACCAAAATCAGAATAACTTAGAGATTTTTTCACAGCTCCAAAGTGAACTGATATAAGACTGTGAAATAACTCCTGTTCCGATGCATTGTTTGTTCTGGAAGAAGCTAATCTTATTATTTATCTTGAAAAGTTTATTTGTTTATTTGAAAATTAGAGAAACAGAGATCTTCCATTCCTGGTTCATTATTGCAAATTCCCACAACTGTCAGGACTGAGCCAGACCAAAGCCAAGAGTCAGAAAATTCATCCAGGTTTCCCTCATGGGTGGAAGGGGTTCCAAATACTTAGGTTATCGGCTGCTGTCTCCCAGTTTAATTAGTAGGAAGCTGACTTGGAAATATCAAGCAGACAACTTGAACCAGCACTTTGATGTGGGATGCAGGCATCCCAAAGATCAGTTTAACCCAACCCATTATGGAATTTGCCTCATCAGGTGCAATGTTAGTAACCAGTTGAATATATTGCCTTGATTAAGTCTTAAATGTGGAGACTGTTCAGTGTTGAAACTTTGGAAAGGAAAACTTAATAATAAATTTGCTTATTTCCAGAGATCTCATTGACTTGCTAGTATGTCAGAATTATTCCACGTAAAAGCCACCTTAATCTTGATCTTTTTTATTTCTGGTGTGTATTAAAGTGTCAGAGACCTTAAACCAAAGCCTTTACTTGTATTTTAGGCATCAGATCCCATGATAGTCTTCTGAAGAATTAAGACATCGAATGCTAAACATACTGAGTGTTAGGTAGAATTATAGTCGTGCAGGTTCTACACTTCCTTTTGTGCTCCCTGTTCTTAGGTGACTGGTGCTGGAAAGCTATGTGACATTTATTTGAAAGAGAGAGAGACAGATTTCCCATGCACTGGGTCATTCCCCAAATGGCCCGTAACATAGCTGCACACTCTAACCCGGAAGGTAGCAGGGACCCAAATACTTGTTCCATTGCAGGGTGCTATGCGAAATGCACATTAGTGAGAAGCTGGATCGGAGAGCAGAGCCGACGCAGACATTCAGACTCAGGATTTGGTCCTCGTAAGAGGTGCCCTCCACACTGCCCCGACGTGCGAACTGAGGGTCACAGTTGTTGATCTTGCTTTTTCAAGTTGACCAATTTTATATGAGAAACATTTGATTTCACGAAATGAGTTGGCTTGAATTTAGTGTGAAAAAGGAAGCTTGTTCATTGCCTTTAGTGGGGTAGAAACGTTGCCCAAGTAAAATGAAAAAAAGATTCTGAGCTGACATGTTTTTTTTGTTTGCAATATTTGAAAACATCTGTATCTCAACAGTTGAACTTAAATACAGAGACTCACCAGAACCACAAAACATGTGAATGAACAAAACCAAAACTACTTAAAGCTTTGATGTTTGCTTATTAACATCAAAGACCTAAATGAAATCCAGAATAGTTATCTGAATCCAGACTTCTATGTGGTTCTTAGGTTTGAGAGCGCCGCACTTGCCAATGCTAAGAAGACTTGATGGAATGATTTCAAGATTGCATCGCAACAAGATTTCTCCCCACCAAAATTTCCTAAATTAATTTTTCCCCTAATTCCCTACTGCAATTGAGCTAATGTAATTTTTTTTTTTTTGCCAACTTATAGCTAGGATTCTGTCTGCATACTTTTTGAAATTGAGGTTTCATTGCTAGTACTTTGGCACAGCTGGTTAAGCTGCTGTCTGCAGCATCAACAGGCAAGTCCTGGCTGCTCCTCTCCCAGTACAGCTCCCTGGTAATGCACTTGGGAAGACAGTGGGAGATGCCCTTTGCAACAAATCTTTAAAAAAATACACACACACACAAAGTGTATTCATGTGAATATGTATACTTCACAACTTTTTAAAGATTTATTTTATTGGAAAGTCAGATATACAGAGGAGAAGATCTTCCATCTAGTTCACTCCCCAAGCGGCCGCAACAGCCAGAGTTCAACCAGTCGGAACCCAGGAACCAGGAGCTTTTTCTGTCTCCCACACAGTTGCAGGGTCCCAAGGCTTTGGACCATCCTCCACTGCTTTCCCAGGCCGCAAGCAGGGAACTGGATGGGAAGCAGGGCTGCCGGGATTAGAAGTGGCGCCCATGTGGGATCCTGGTGCGAACAAGACAAAGATTTAGCCACTAAGCTACTGTGCCAGGTCCACATTTTTTAGTTTTAATGATAAACTTAGAAGAATTTCTAGAGGTCCTCTGTGTCCATCACCCGCTTTCTCTCATGGGATCATTAGAATATTTTCACGTCATCGACAGGCTTTTTCCACACTCGTTAATATGTCTTTTTTGTTTTTAATGATCTCTGCTTCTCTTCAAAGAAAGGGCACCTGTATTGCACCTGACCCTGTTAACCTTCCCGAATTAGGAGGCGTCCCATCCCCAAGTTGCTGTTGTTTGTAGGCTTAGTGCATTTGTTTCCATCCTCCTGCTTTCTGTTGTGCTTTTCAAGGGAAGAGATAGTGTCCTACAGCTACCTTTCCAGTACATTCCTTACTGTTGATGGTCTTGATTTTTCTGACATTGTCTTTTTTTTTTTCTTTGTAGCCTGAAAATGAAATTTCTTCGGACTGCAATCATGTAAGTATGGATTTTCTTTACTTTACCAAATATGCTTCATGTAAAGATTGATAGGTTTTTAAATGCTTTTCTTTTTCTACTGGGAAATGTGCTCACTTAGCTTCCCTTAACCTTCAAGAATGACCCGCTTTGTTCAAGACCTTGGTACACTGTGCAGATGCCTCTTTGCTGAAGAAACCCTTTATATATATATATTTAAAGTTAAACTTTTCATTAGTTACAGCTGTTGATTGAAAGCAAATCTCTGCTAATTAAGTTGCCAACTTCAGAATTCTGTGTTTTAAACTTCTTTTATAGTCAGCTCTAACCCAGATAACATGGTAACACATCAAAGAAAGACTGTGGGAATCGTATCTATGCAAAGTATCAAGTGTTTTGAGGGAAATCTATGTATTGTTCATACCACAAAAAAGTGAATTTTGCCAACATAGGTCGATATCGGGGAGATAATCTTGAACTGAAAGAGGCATAGCAGACCACCCTCACAGTGTAGTGGGATGATTAGACAGGGGACCACCACAGCACAAAGGCATTTTGGCTATTTAGAGTAACTGATGTTCTGGATAAGTCAGAGATTTAAAGTAGGAAGTAAAATCCTAAGATCCTAGACGACATAAAGAAAGAAAAGACTGCCTTAGTAGGAAGTAAAATGGCAAGATAATTCAAAGGAAAGTGAGTTTCCTGTTTCATACATTTGTTTAGCAAATATAAAAAATATGGTGCATGTTCTGCATTGATTATGATAAATTAAGTATTCTATAGCCTTTGGATCAAAACAAAACAAAATACAGCCATGGACCAAATGCTGCCCACTGTCTGTTTTTGTATGTGATATCTCACTGGAGCAGTGACATGAATTTCTGTATTTTCTGTGGTTTTGTTTCCACACCAGGATGTAATGTTGGATTGTTTGAACAATGCTACAGATTTCCTACAAACCCAAAATAAAATTTCTGATCTGTTTTGGTTCTTGGTAGTTTATTTTCTATAGGTGGAGGAATACAAACAAGAAAATTTTCTTTATAAAATAGTCACCTCAGAATTCTTTAGTGCTATACATATATGCTTTTATTTGACATTTTGTTTTTAGATATTTATGTATAGTTAAGAAAGTAGATAGGCTTATGTCTAATAAAGGACATTTGTTGTGGCATTATTAATAAAGCAGAAGACTAGGCGGGAGTAGAATCTGACAAAGGAAAAGGCCAGGGGAAAAACTTACCTGTACATTAAAACCTTTAAACTCTGGGGAGCAGGAAGGATGGGATTCTGAAAAATTGGAGAAAAATAGGGCACAGCAACAGAGAGAATTCGTATCATGTCTGTAAGAAGTAATTGGAAATAGCTTTGTGGTGCAGTTATGTAAGCCACCACTAATGACAATGGCATCTCTTATTGGAGTGCCAGTTTGGAGTCTTGGCTACCCTGCTTCCAATACAGCTTCCTGATAATGTACCTAGGAGGGCAGCAGCAGATGGGTCCCTGCCGCAACATGGAAGCCCAGAGTAAGAGTTTCGGAGTCTTGGTTTCAAGCTAGCCCAGCCCGGGCTGATGGCAAGCATTTGGGGAGTGAACTGACAGATGGAAAATGTTCTTCTGTGTGTGTGTGTGTGTTAGTGTTTGTGTCTTCCCTACTCTCTTGCTGTCTCTCTCTCTCTCACACACACACACACACACACATATCAAGCATGCGCGCGTGCACTGTGGTTTCTATGGGGTGTGAGGCCTGTAAGCCAAGGCACATTCTTCCCATGCTTGCTCTGTCTCACACATTCACTCATACACACACAAACACATACACAGTGGTTTCCATGGGCTGTGAAACCTCTAAGCTTCCCATACTCGCGTGCGTGCGCTCTCTTTCTCTCTCTCTACCTCTCTCCCTCCCTTCTTCTCTCCTTCTCTCCCTCTCTCCCTCTCTCACACACACAGGTTTCCATGGGGCTTGAGGCCTTTGAGCCGAGGCATGTCCTTCCCTTGCTCATTGAGTCTCTGCAGTGTCACCTGAGGGCAGAGTACCTTCCCATGAGTCCCTCTTTTCAGCGGCTGTTGACCCTACCTTCCCGGCAGTGTGTGGTTCCTGTCTTTCTAGCCCACAGTTTTCCACTGTGCTTGAGATTGTAACTGGGGATTCCACCTTTCTACTCCATCTAGGAGTCAGTCATTCTAGACTAGTCATTCTCACACAGGGCTGAGCCATTATCCCTTTGTATCTCAAGGGCTACAGGTTAGGTTTGGTTATTTTCCCTCTGAAGATAAACAGACCCTCTGCTTAGACCAGGCTCAGACCAGTTTAGGGGGCCAGTCTAGGTTGACAGCTCATTATATGCAGATTGTAACATATTAGCATGCTCAATGACACAGCTGCCAAAGCAGGAGACATTGACTATGTAAGTGTTAAGAAGGAGCATCGGCTAGATTCTAAATCTTCCACTACTTCCAGAGAAACCATGAATATTCCTCTCTTGTTAGAATATAAATAGTCTCTCCCATTGAGTGGCCCATATAAAGTTCATCATGGTTTGAAGACAGGGCACTGCCCACGCAGGGAGCCTGCTCCCTAGGGAGTGTGCACTTTGGCTTTCTCAGTGAAACACTTGTGCTTTCTCTGCTTGCTTTCTGGACCCCTGAATTGTGTCTTGAGATAAAACCATGACAATTGCTCTCTGATGCTGCCTGTTGTCTCCTTGCTAACTTCCCTGAAGGCACAGAGGCCTCCATGCTGATCCTGACCTGGGGGTTTTGCCTTTGCTGTTCTTTCTGCCTGGAATATTCACTGTGAGAGCAAAAGAGAGACAGGGATCTTGCACCCGCTGGCTCATTCCCCCAGTGGCTGAAGTGGTTAGTGCTGGGCCAGGCCGAAGTCAGGAAGCAGTAGCTTCATTTGGGTCTCCCATGTGTGCTAGGATCCCAGACGCTTGGCCATTTTCTACTGCTTCTCTCGGGCCACTTGCAGGGAGCTAAATCAGAAGTGGAGCAACCAGGACCAGAGGTGGCCTTACCCGCTTTATCGCTGTGCTGACCCAATATGTATTTTCCGTGTCCCTTCTTCCTTTAGGGACAATACCACCCTCCCCCATCCCCAACTCCACCCTGAGACTTTGAATTCCATTTAACCTTCTTACCTACCGTCTGCATTTAATTGTCTTTTTCTCCTTGGAAGAATGTAAGTTCAAGCTCCTTGAGTGGAAGAATTTTGGCCTCAGGGCAATGTTTGGCACTGTGGGTTAAGATGTTGCGTGCAGTGGTTGCATTTGGTGGTTCAGGTTGCTCCACTTCTGATCCAGTTCCCTGCTAACACACTTGGCAAAGCAGCTGAGGGTGAGCCAAGTGCTTAGGCCTCTGTCACTCTCAGGAAAGAACTAAGTGGAGTTTCAGGCTCCTGGCTTCAACCTGCCCTACCCTTGGCTCTTGTGCATGTTTGGAGAAGTAAACCAGAACGTAAGAGATCACTTTTTGTCTCATTTTTAGTTTTTGCATCACGCTTTCAAATAATTTTTTTAGCAATTTAAAAAGGATAGGGCCCAGTGCAGTAGCTTACTCTTTCCTCTGTTGTATTCCTAAAGTCCTCGCCTTGTGTGTACCCGGATCCTATGTGGGTGCTTCGTGTCCAGGCTGTTGCACTTCCCTTCTGGCTTGCTGCTAGTGGCCTGGGAGGTCAGTGGAGGACGGCCCAAAGCCCTGGGACCTGCATCTGTGTGGGAGACCTAGGGGAAGTTCCTGGCTCCTGGCTTCGGATTGGCTCAGCTCTGGCCTCTGCAGCTACTTGTGAAGTGAAGCAGCGGATAAAGGATTTTTCTGTCTCCTTCTTTCTGTAGATCTGACTTCCCAATATGAATAAATAAATAAATCTTTTAGAGATAGATACTGTCTTGGCACAAAATATTTTGAAATTTAATAAGTTAGTAGACAATTGGGTATTACCAAAAATAGCTGTCTGGATTTCAAGTTTGTTTTCCACCAGATAAATCTTACCATCTAATTCCATTTTCTATAAACTTGTTGGAGTATCTTTGATAATGTAAGTACTTTATATGACTCAAATTATTTAGCCTTTTTTTTTTTTAACAGAATATATAGTATAATACCATATCATGATTAAATGGCTTTTGTCAGCACTCCAATCAGTAGGAAGGGTATAAACCTTCATGTCTCATCTTCTAAATTAGAAGATGTTATAACTTGAAAATTTGGAGGTAATTACCCTAAGAAAAAGCAAAAGGAACTTGGCAGTGATTTAGTCTTTTTATTTATTTATTTATTTTTTAAATTTGTGTATTTTCCTTGAAAGTCAAAGTTACATAGAGAGGGAGACAGGGAGGTCTTCCATTCTCTGATACATTCACGAGATGGCCCGCAACAGTGGGAGCTGACCTGATCTGAGGCAGAGACCCAGGACTTGAACTGTCCTCTCTGCTTTCCCAGGCCAGAAGCAGGAAGCTGGGTCAGAAGTAGAAACTGTGCTCGTGCAGGATGCTGGTGTCTCCAAATGGATGCTTAGTTTTCTACACCATCACACCAACCCGTCTTGATTTTTTTTTTAAAGTCCAAAGAAGAGTGGTTAAAGAAACTGTGGTACAGCTACTCCTTGGAATATTATTCAGCTATTAAGAAGAATGAAATTACACTATTTACAACCAGGTGGCCCCAACTAGAGACCATTATGCTCAGTGGAATGAGTCAATCACAAAAGAACAAATACCATATATTCTCTCTTATATAAGGAAACCAACATGGAAAGTGTAACTTCAATAATCCAATCCGTACTGTTTTTTGTTTGTTTGATTTTTTGGCTGTATCCTATGTATTTTGATGTTCTTTATTTCAGTTTGGTTTATTCCAAATAATTTCTTCTCTCTTGTCGAATTCATCACTGGCTCATGGATTATACGGTAGCGTCATGTTTCCCAAGAGTCTTTTGTGTCTTTTTGTCACTCATATGTTGGTTACTCGGTGGTGCTTTTTTTCATGGTGCTGTCATTTGTTGTTGATGTTGTTGTTGTGGCTATTCTAACTCATCAGTTGTTGACCTTGTTTCATGGCTTCTCAATTATGGAAATGTATAGTGATGGAGTACTGGGGTCTGTCATATACAGATGTGGGGGTAAAATGGAACATGCATCACTGCTTTCAAATGAAAGATGGATTTCCAATGAAACTGGTGGACATATGTAGACAATGGGATGCTGGACTGTCTGACATTGTCTGTATCAACAATGTCGGGGTACACTTAAATAGGAGACTGATAGAATTATGATTCCTAAAAAAAAAGGAATGATGATTCCTTATGAAGGACTACACTATTGTAGTACAATGGGGAAAATCTGTTCGGGGGTGGGAGTTTGGGGGGGAATCCCAGACTGTATGAAATTGTACCACATAATTCAAAATTCAAAATAAAAATGTATTTTAAATAATTTTTTTAAGTTTAATTACTCATTTTTATTGTTTGAAAGAGCAACAGGGAAAGATTTTTTTTTTCATCACTGCTTTACTCCTCAAATTCCTGCAACAGCCAGAGCTGGGCTGGGCTGGCCTGAGCTGAGCTGAAACAAGAGCCAGGAACTCCATCCTATACAAGAACTCAACTGCTAGAGCCATCATTTACTGCCTGCCAGGCTCAATAGCAGAAAGCTGGATCAGACATGGAAGCTGGATTCTGGCTAACAATTTTTATTTAAAATTAATTAAGGGTGAATGGAAGAAGAAATAATAAACTGTTGGCTATACTTTCAGAGTTTGGCTGTAAAGAAAGAACTTTCCTCTACTCCTCAACCCACCTTAGTCTTACAGTAACAACATTCTTTGTATCTCAAATATGCCCCATTTTCTCTTGCCTCATACATAACTCATCTACTAACCTCCCTCAGTCTTTTTTTCTTTTCTTTTCTTTTTTTTTAAGCTTCCCTCAATCTTGAAACCCACTGTAATCAGATTGATCTCTTGCCTTCAGTGTTTAAAATTAAGCATTTGCTTACTGTTTCCTTGAATATAATTTATAGAGCTGGCATTTAGCCTGGTGGGTAAGATTCCTGAATCCCACATTGGGATACCTGGGTTTAACTTCCAACTCTGGCTCCTGACTATCTTCCTGCAAATGTAGATCGTGGGAGGAAGCAGTGGTATTTCAAATATTGAGGTTCCTGCCCCCCATTCATCTGGGAAAACCTGTATTACATTCGTGGCTCCCAGCACTGCAGCCAGTTTGAGCATTTGAAGAGTGAACCAGCAAACGAGGAAGCATTCTCACTGTCTGCCCCAACTCCCACACCTACCTGCCTCAGGCTCTGAAATAGATAAAGACCATAAGATAGATTAATGGTTTCCAGAGGGTAGGGACAGAGAGAATAAAGAATGACACAGTGGGTTTAATGTTTCTGTTTAGAAGAAAGTGAAAAGGTTCTAGAATTAGAAAATGGTGGCTGTTACACAAGCTTATAAAAATAGAACAGAATACTGAATTGTACATTAGAAGGCCTCACTGTGTTACTTCTTTTTTAAAAATTAACTAATTTCTTTTTATTGGAAAGACAGATTTACGAGAGAGTAGAGACAAAGATCTTTCATCACTGCTTTACTCCCCAAATGACCACAATGGCTAGAGTTGAGCCAATCCGAAGCCAAGAGCCAGGAGTTTCTTCCAGGTCTTCCACGTGGGTGCAAGTTTCCCAAGGCTTTGAGTCATCCTCTTCTGCTTTGCCCAGGCAGGGAGTTAGAACGGAAGTGGAGCAGCCAGGACACAAATTGGCACCCATATAAGATGTTGGCAATTGAAGGTGGAGGATTAGCTGTTTGAGCTATCACGTCAGCTCCTCTCAGCACTCACCCAGAGTCCACTGCTGTATCTGCGTCACTCTTAATGCACTTTACGTGTGCCTCTCTTCTAACAGGGTTATCTGGCTGATTGTCCCTGCACAGACTTCCCCATTACTAGCTTAAGTTCAGTAGTGCCCTTCAGGTTTCACTGATGAATGGTGCCTGTCCTACCCCAGCCCAGAGCCCTCCTCCCCTGCACTGCTAGGGCACCTGGTGGAGCCTTTGCTACTGCCTGCCTTTTGTCACAGCTGCCCCCGAGTCTCTTGCCTTCTACTTCTGTTTCTTCCTCCAGTTGCTAACACTTCTGGAACATAGTCCGCTGTGTTCACCTTGGTCTTCCCCAGCAGCCGGTGGTGCTCCCCAGATCTGGCTCCACGCAGTGCGTGGTAATGGGTGCTCAGCACATGTTGGCAGGTCCAGTGAGTGGTCGATGGTGGTCCTAGGGGATCGCAGTCAGAGAGAAAGGACCGGGAGCAATATATTCAGGATTCTGCATTGTACACAGCTCTGCTCTGTCTTTCCATCTCAGCAGTTTTAAGGCTCATTTGTGTTGCTTCTCAGAAATCAGACTGCAATTGAAGCTACAAAGACAAAAGTAATGCTCAGCCCTCACCTGAGTGAAATAAGGCTTTAGGTAGTTTTTGGTTTAACAAACGCTAAAACACATGTGTAAAGTGCAACTTATGGTACCCATGTCAAGTGTTTTTAAGAAGTGAGATAGATGCTAGCTGGAAACTAGCTGCTGGGGAATTCACGTTCCTAAAACTGATATGTGAAAGCACTGAAATGTGAAATCAGGGGCTGAACCCAGCACAGCTGAGCTTCTGGATTAGACTTTGGTTTCAGCAGAATTTTTCATGGCCAGCCCATTTAGAGTTCTCTCTGAGAGGGTGGGCATCGGGCACAGTAGTTAAGAGGAGGCTTCACACTTGCGTCCCACATCACGGCACTTGCGTTTGAGTGCTGGCTCTGCTCTCAGTTGTAGCTAATGCTCTGCTCCGGGGAAGCAGATGATGCCTCCAGTACTTGGGCGCCTGCTGTCTACACGAGACCCACATTCTGTTCCAAGTTCTGGCTTTGGTTTGGCGCAGCCCAGGATATTGCAGGCAGTTGGGGAGTAAGCCAAACATGAAAGATTTCTCTCCCTCTGTCTCTCCATGTTTTATGTAAATAACAAATGTATAATTTTGGGAAGGAAACCTTACCAAGGGATTTTTAATTCTTTTTTTATTTTTTAAATGATTTTAAGGCACATTTAAAAAAATTGTCCTAAGAAAAAGTGCATGTCTGAATAGTAATGTTTTAATTTTGCCTGAAGATATTTTTTTCTTTTATCTGTGAATACAGTTGTGTTTTATCTTTCTGCTCATTTACCTGCCAGGGACAAAGTATTATCAGATTGAGTATAATAAACTTTTGTCATTTGCAGTAAGAATTGATAAATTTCATACTGCTCTAATGGAATTTTCTCCCCTCTGTTCTGTTTTTCTTACACCAGTTGTTGTGGAATTACAAGCTGAACCTAACTACAGATCCCAAATTTGAGTCTGTGGCCAGAGAAGTTTGCAAATCCACCATATCTGAGGTACGTTCTACAGACTGTTCTGGGGATTTAGTAAGCAAGGAGAGGGAATTACATGCAGTAAGCAGACCAATCATTAAGAGAGGAGTGACTCATTTTGCTTGTCTGAGGATTCACATCTGTTTCAGTGGAGAGCTAGAAGCAGGGTGTAATTAGACTTCTTCTTGTTAGCCTCCACCTACACGTGGAAGAGGATGCTGCTGACTGAAACAGGTGGTGATCAGGCTGCTGTGGGTCCTAGGCAGTGAGTGTGCTGCTGAGCCCCGGCGCTGCCCCTGCACGCTTCCCAGTCACCAGGTCCGAGGCTTGGGGCCCGGGGGCTTGTGTACAGTGCTCTGTGTCCTGGCTAGGCAGTGGGGTCCACTGAACCCCAGCAGTGTGCGCTTCAGGTAATAGGAGTTTGTGATCAAAAAGGGTAAGAATATAATTATCTGTATTGCTATAAGTTGACAGCATAGAGACTGAAACAATTAGGGAGAATTTTAGCTCTCTACAGATGGTAATAAGGGACATTTTGAATTACTTATCAAGGCTTTAGTGTAAAAACAAGTGACGTTAATGAACACTGGTCCTTGACATTTCGTTGCTGTGTTTGGGAGTGTTTTTGGAATGGGAATAGGAATTCCAGAAAGCCGGAGATTCCTGCATGGTTGAAGGATGAGACTCACCAAGAGAACAGTTGTTAAGTTTCTACCACAAAGTTACACTGGAAAGTCTCCTAGCATGTTACTTCGTCTTCAGCCTGCCCTACTGACCGACTGTTTCAGGGTCACTTCCTCCAGAGCTCATCAGGAAGACTGCCTCCCCGCCCTTGGCCTAGCCCGCTGTCTTGGGGTCATGTGAGCTGATTGTCTTCCTCAAACCTCCAGATGCTAGGTCAGATGTGCTTTAATCTCTGAAGCAGTTACCCTTTACGTTTGTGTGGGAGCTGCGGAATAGAATATGTCCTTGAATGGCTGACCTTTAGCTGCTGGCATTAGCATAATACATCTCAGACTCCCTCTGCTCTCTGCTACCTGTATCACTGTAAACCTCCAACTTTAAAGTATCAAGGGCAGTGATGTTTGCTTAGTAATAAAAACAAACACCAACAAATGGCCCTAGACTTGAACTTTAAATATGTGTCTGCTCCCACTGTGTTCTGGAGCTGTCCAATTATGAATACTTTTTCCTTAAGGCACGTCAGTACCCATTCATGCAGACATGCCCGCATTTTGCTCTGTTCTGTTTCAGTGTTAAATGCATACCGATTTGAATTCCGTGTGGGAATTGGTTCAGGGTATTGGTTCAGATGGATTTCACTCTGCATTCAATTACTGCCATATATAGTGGATGTACTGGTGGTCCTCAGGGATCTCTTGAGGTCTTGTAGTTGTGTAAAAGATGGAGGTGGCAAGGGTGGTTTTCGTTTCTACAGGGATATGATACTGGAGACAGGCAAACCAACTATCAGAACAAAGTTACCAGCAAATCATTTTGTCCAAAATCTTGCTCCTATCTTCTGTTTAACTTTTTGAATCATACTTAGAGCTGGGAGATAGCATCCAGAAGGGTTGTTTGCAAGCCACATACCAAACTGTTTGTCTCTTGGGAACTGGGCTGAGTACCACCTGCATGTCAAGACACAATGTGTAGTGTGACTGCAGTGTTTCCAGTGTCACCTGGCGTGTCTGGTCCCCAGCCACATCGCACTCCAGTTATTAATATGTGTCAGTGGTTTAATGCTGTCTCTGTTGTGGCTCTTAGAAGTTTAACAAGACGGAAGGAAAGCATGCTGTTCCTCAGGAGGAGGAAAGACCCGAAGCCTATTCACAGATGACACTTGTTAGTGTTGACCGAAACATGCATGGGAACTGTGTTGCTGTTTCACTGGAATCCGGAATCCGAGTGACTGAAGCTGCACTGTCCCTGCACTTTCCTTGTGTGAGCTCTCTTCAGGAAGCTTTTTTTTTTTTCCTTAGAGTTGTGAGTTTTTCAATATTAGGGAATGAAACCTTTTCTACCACAGTCAGTTTTTAAACTCAGGTATCTGCCCCCAGTCCTATTTTTCATAACAGGGTTTTTTCCGTCTAGGTTGCTCCTCCTCCTTTGCTTTAGAAACTGTTTTGCTCAAAAAGGAAGGAGACATTCTGTTCCTAGAAATGCATTCATGACGCCCCCACGTTAAGCATCTCTCTCTCTCTCACACACACACACACACACACACACACACACACACACACACACACAGAGCCTGAAAGGGTAAACTGGAAAAGTTGGTTTAACCTTTACTCTCTGATGATCATGTGCAACTGCTTACTTGAGTTCCAAAATCTTTTTTTTTTTAAGATTTTTTTTTTATTGCAAAGTCAGATATATAGAGAAGAGGAGAAAGATCTTCTGTCTGCTGATTCACTCCCCAAGTGAGTGCAACAGCCAGAGCTGCACCGATCTGAAGCCAGGAACCAAGAGCCTCTTCCGAGTTTCTCACACAGGTGCAGGGTCCCAAAGCTTCGGGCCATCCTCAGCTGCTTTCCTAGGCCACAAGCAGGGAGCTGGATAGGAAGTAGGGCTGCTGGGATTAGAACCAGTGCCCACGTGGATCGCAGTGCATGCAAGGCAAGGACCCTAGCCACCAGTTTACTGCACCAGGCCCCGCTATCGGTTTCAAAAAGTCGGTGAAACACTCCCTTTGGGTTTATCATAAAAATAAATGTTACATTTGAAAAATTATTTGTTTTTATTGAGAAGACAGATTTACAGAGAGAAGGAGAGATACAGAGAGAGATCTTCCATCCACTGGTTCACTCCCTAAGTGGCTGCAACAGCCAGAGCTGACCAGTCTGAAGCCAGGACCCAGGAGCTTTTTTCAGGTGTCCCATGCATGCGTAGGGTCCCAAGGCTTTGGGTTGTCTTCTACTACTTTCCCAGCCACAAGCAAAGAACTGGATGGGAAGCAGGGCTACTGGAATTAGAACTGGCAGCCATATGGGATGCTGACGCTTGCGAGGCAAGGATTTCACTGTTAGGCTATTGTGCCAGGCCCAGATATTTACGTTTGTCTATATCCTCTTATAAAAATGCCATTTCTGGGCCCGGCACGGTGGCCTAGCGGCTAAAGTCCTTGCCTTGAATGCCCCAGGATCCCATATGGGCGCTGGTTCTAATCCTGGCTGCTCCACTTCCCATCCAGCTCCCTGCTTGTGGCCTGGGAAAGCAGTCAAGGACGGCCCAAAGCCATGGGACTCTGCACCCGTGTGGGAGACCTGGAGGAAGTGCCTGGCTCCTGGCTTCGTATTGGCACAGCACCAACCGTTATGGTCACTTGGGGAGTGACTCATCAGATGGAAGATGTTTCTCTCTGTCTCTCCTTCTCTCTATATATCTGACTTTCCAATAAAAATAAAATAAATCTTTTTTTAAAAATGCCACTTCTGTTTGTTTCTATTTTCCCAAATTGAATAGACTTTTTCCAAATAACCTTCCCGTTTATAACCCAGTAAGTAGATCTCAGCATTTGCGGAGCTGATTTGCTTGCTTGGCATCCGTGGATGGGAGGCACTCTGTAGGACACTGCCATGTGGAGCCACCATGCTTCATCTGCCAGATTGTGTGTGAGCACCACCCAGATGAGGTTGGTGGTGGCCTGCATTTCCCCAGTTTGCTAGACTGCATCGAGCACCATTTAAAATATGCTTATCTTCCAGACCACACTGGTTAAGCTTGGATTCTACTAAATTGAAAATCACATGTTCATGTAGCCAATTTACAGCACACTAATGTCATGTCAGAAAGTAACATTATGGGAACTGGCATTGTGGCAGAGAGCGTTAAGCTGATGCCTTTCATGTTGGCCTGCCTTGTGGGCAGTAGTTCAGGTCTGAGCTATTCCACCTCAAGTCCAGCTCCCTGCTGTGTACTTTGGATAACAGCAAAAGGTGGCCCAAGTTCCTGTGCGCTTGTTGGAGAGCCAGATGGAGCTCCTAACTCTTGGCTCCCAACCTGGCACAACCCCAAGCTTTGCTGCCATTAGGGAGTGAACCAGAGTGTGAAGATCTGTCTCTATCTCTTAACTGTCTTCCAGCTAAAATAAAAGGCTCTTCAAAATATAAAATAAACAACATTATGCCTTGCCTTCCCTCCTCCTCTCGGCCTGATGACAAGTGGATTTATCTAGTGACAGTACTTTGCTGTGTGCAGCTTGGCTTGGAACAGGCCACTGCACTTGGGAGTTGCCAGTTTTGCAGACCCACTTCCTGGATTCATCTCACTGTCTGGTAAAATGGGCTTCTCAGACTATGACTAAAGCTATAGATATTAACTCTTTTTTGGGAGCCAGCCCTGTTGTACAGTTTGTTAAACTGCCATCTGTATTCCATATGGAAACTGATTCAAGCCCCAGCTGATTAATTTCTCACCCAGCCCCCTGTTAATTCACTTGGGAAAGCAAAGAGGATGGCTCAAGGACTCGGGCCCCTGCACGCATGTAAGAAACCCAGAAGCTGTGGGCTCCTGGCTGTGCCTTGGCCCAGCCATTTGGGAGATGAACCCGTAAATGGAAGATCTTTTTTTCTCTGTGTTTCTGTCCTCTCTCTCTCTAACTCTGTCTTTTAAATTAATTAATTAAAAAACATTGTTTAGAAATGAATCCTATCTAACTAAGCATTTGGATATGCCTTACTTTCTTATCAAACAGGTTCAGCATCTCCTAGAAGGCAGAGATGGTAACATTGTGTTTCTTTCAAACATATGTATTTCTAAACAGTTTTTTGTGTCCCAAATGAAAAGATGGAGAGGACAACATGTGTGCATGGAGTACCTGTGTAAAAGAGCCACTTTGCTTTGAGCAGATTAAAGAATGTGCCGATGAGCCAGTTGGGAAGGGGTACCTGGTCTCCTGCCTTGTGGATCACCGTGGCAACATCACTGAGTACCAGTGTCACCAGTACATCACCAAGATGACGGCCATCATCTTCAGCGACTACCGCCTAATCTGTGGCTTCATGGATGACTGCAAAAATGACATCAACATTCTGAAATGCGGCAGCATTCGGCTTGGGGAAAAGGTAACCCACTGCATTGACTTCCCCTCCTGGAGAATTTAGGAGCATCGGGGGTTAGAAGGCTTTGTATGGCTTGGCGAGGGAGCGTTTAGACCACAGGTAACCTTAAAGTTGAAAGAATTTGAAAGTTGAAAGAATTTTGACCAGACAGGCTGAGCTGATTGGCTTGGGAACATATTTCGTGTGTTTCTAACAAAATGTCTCAATATGGTGTGGGGCAGCATCTGCCAAGAATTGGGTTTGTTACCTTCACAGCTTTGGCCCAGTCACCAAAAAGAAGCAGCTCTTCTGCTTTTATTTAGGGTGTTGGAGATTATATCTAATCCCAGGTCTCACTCCTTTTAAAAATCTACAGCATTCTGGACATGCATAGAGATAGTCAAAAAAATCGTGGAAGATAGGTATCATGAAAAAACTACAGATGGGTACCAGCTTTGCGGTGCAGTGATTTGAGCTGCCACCCGCAGTGCTGACATCTCATAGGTGTAGTCATGACTGCTCCAACTCTTTTCTGGCTCCCTTTTAAACTACCAATATTCTTTGTGTTTTAGGATGCACATTCACAGGGTGAAGTGGTGTCATGTTTGGAGAAAGGCCTGGTGAAAGAGGCTGAGGAGAATGAACCCAAGGTTCAAGTGTCTGAACTATGCAAGAAGGCGATTCTTCGCGTGGCTGAGCTGTCCTCCGATGACTTTCATCTGGACCGGCATTTGTATTTCGCTTGTCGAGATGATCGTGAACGTTTTTGTGAAAATGTGAGTTAGTTCAGAAGCTGTTCTTCTTTTCTTCCTTTCCTTTCTAAACATTATAGTTTCTCTACTGCCAAGTAAAATGGACTGTCAGAAATGTGAAATGGAAGGTGCAGTTGGTCCCAGCCTAACAAAATGGTCTTGGATGCTCAGCCTTGATGATCTAGTATCTAGTTAGCACTCGGCTTCTGACAGTCTCAACAGGTGTCTGGTCTGCTTTGTCTTCCTTTTCCATTTTTGTTCTTGGAAATCTGCTTTCTATCTGGGCGTCTTGTTTTAGCACGGGATGCTGCTTGACCTGCTCAGTGACTTTGACACATTACATATTTATATGTTTCTAGCTAAGGTGAAGAAAATAATAGAGAAATCTCTACCCTTATGACAGAGGACCCAGGGTGGATTGTGTATTTCCTCCTGGCTGCTGCTTGTAGTTAATAAACTCTCAGAGCCACTGGTACGAGTTTTATTGACTCTAGCATGAAGTAAGAAAGGAGACTGACTCCAACATTGTGTCAGTTCCTTAGTTAACAGTATTTCTGGGAATAAATGACAATAGCCAGACATCATGAAAAATTTACTTCATCTTTATTGCAGTTACTGCTTCTTTCAAAGGCATTTCCATTTTACAAATAGCAAAGACACTTGCTCACAAGTACAATTACAACTTAATATAAATTTCTGTACGAGATTGTGGATGATACAAAGCATAACTACTTAAGTATGATCTATCTTACAGACACAAGCTGGTGAAGGCAGAGTGTATAAGTGCCTATTTAACCATAAATTTGAAGAATCCATGAGTGAAAAGGTCAGTATTTGAAACAAGCAAATATTTCATTAATTTTCTGAGGTTTTCTCAGATCTTTCTAATATTAGGGGAAAAACAAAAATGTTCATTTATTTATTTGAAAGGCAGAGTTACAGATAATGGGCAGGGGGCATTGATGGGGACACGCGTCACTACCTTTATGGCCACAGTAGCCAGGGCTGGGCCCGGCAGAAGCCAGAATCTGAGGTCCTATCCAGTTCTCCCACATAGTGGCAGGGGCCCAAGGACCTGAGCCATCTTCTGCTGCTTTTCCAGGTGCATTAGAAGCTGGATTAGATATTGAGCAGCCAGGACTTGAACTGATCCTCTTGTGGGATGCCAGCATACAAAAGCTTAACCCTCTGCACCACAGCACCATTAAAATTTACAGCACAGATGTTGTTGAGGTAGAAAACAATACTTTATATCAATTCAGTGTGCTGGTGTCTACCAGATATTTACATGTTTGGGACGGCTGCTGGTGAAACAACAACCAGCAGTTCACTCTAGAATTTCAAGGCCCCCAGCCAAGTGCCATGACTCAATGGCTCTCACCTTGCAAAAGCTGGGATCCATGTGGGTGCTCTTTTGTGGCCTGGAAGGGCAGTGGAGGATGATCCATGCACCTACATGGGAGACCAGGGAGAAGCTCCTGGCTTCTGGATTGGATCGGCTCAGCTTCAGCCATCACAACCATTTTGGGAGTGAACCAGAGGACAAAAGATCTTTCTCTTTGTCTTTCCTTCTCTCTGTAAGTCTGCCTTTCCAATAAAATTGAATGGATGTTTAAAATAAAGAAAAAAGAATTTGAAGGCTCTCCACCTCTTGCCACAGTATAAAGCATTCTCATGCTGAATTGTAACCACACATGAAGGGGGCATTTGATGCACACCTGACTGTCCTGGAGGTACCTGTGGGGCACATGAGGGGGACTTACAGCGCTTTGCCCGCTCTCTTCCCAGTGTCGTGAAGCTCTGACAACGCGGCAGAAGCTGATCGCCCAGGATTACAAAGTCAGCTACTCACTGGCCAAGTCCTGTAAGAGCGACCTCAAGAAATACCGGTGCAACGTGGAAAACCTGCCTCGCTCCCGGGAGGCCAGGCTCTCCTACCTGCTCATGTGCCTGGAGTCGGCTGTGCACAGAGGTGCCCATCTGATTGTCTATGTTTCTTACATTCCATTCCAGGTTCAGCACTGGAAGCCTTTCATGCCTGTAATTGTTAGGTTTCCCATATATTTGGTCTAGGCATATTTTTGATTTTTAAAAACTGCCACATTTTTTAGACGAGTCAGGATAGCGTGATTGAACACATGAGCTTTGGGACAGAGACTCAGCTTCAAAGTATGAGTCTAACACTAGACTAGCTGGCTGGGTAGCCACTTGTGTTTTATTATTATTATTTTTTTAAGCGACTTAGGTTTTCCCAGTGTGACACTTAGAATTCAAAGAAGTAGAGGGAACTGAGTGTATTTTCTCCCATTTGTATCTACAATGACCAGCAAAGATGGGACTGTCGCTCTGTAGCATGGTAGCTGCGTTGTTGGTGAGCCATGCACGGGCAGAGCTTTGTGTTGGGCCAGCTTGGGAGTCTGAGGTCTGGACAGTGTACAGCGCTGGCAGGACGAGTCCACGCCTCTGGCGTCCACACTCGCCTCTTGCTGAGGCTTTTCTGGAGTTCTGAGCTGTCATGCAGCGGTTACTGTGGCAGTTGTGTGATGTTCCAGGTAAAAGTTTGGAAATGTGATGGTTGTTGATCCTCACCCTTCGTCTGTGTTGTGACTTTGATCCTCACTCAGGGCGGCAGGTAAGCAGTGAGTGCCAGGGGGAGATGCTGGATTACCGACGCATGCTGATGGAGGACTTTTCTTTGAGCCCTGAGATCATCCTAAGCTGCCGGGGGGAGATTGAACACCACTGTTCCGGATTACATCGCAAAGGACGCACCCTGCATTGTCTAATGAAAGTTGTTCGAGGCGAAAAGGGAAACCTTGGGATGAACTGCCAGCAGGCGGTAAGGGAACATTTTCTGTTGCCATTTTGAAAATCCTATTTTACCAGCTCATGCCTCTTCCGGATGTTGTCCCCATTGCTTTATCTGGATCTTGTGCGGCATCCCAGTAACCATGAGCTGTTGAGTCCAGGCTTGGAATGTTGTTTCCTCAGGTGCCTCTTGGTCAAAACACGGCAGGTGCTGTGGAGCAGGAGCCTGAGCATACAGTAAGCAGGAAAGGAAGCCTGTCGGGTCATCTGTGAATTGCTAGGCCCTTCTTTCTCCACCTTGAACTTTTCAGTTGATTCTATAAAGGCAGTTTCTATGTAGAATTCCATAAAGACAGCCAAGTGCCAGGCCTCAGCTGGGTCTCCTACTTCGGTGTAGTGGTCCAAGGACTCACGCCATCTGCTGCTGCTGTCACATGTTCATTAGCACGGAGCTGAATTAGAAGTGGAGCAACCAGGACGCAAACTGGTACCCTTATAGGATCCCCATGTTTCAGGGACAACCCTGTTGCAGATTTAGCCCATTATACCACAGCTTTCCTCCCTTTAGTTGGCATTTTTATCAAAAGCTGAATGGTCCTTGATTTTTTATTCCTGCGAATCCTATAGAATCCGAATTATATAGTCTGAAACAGTAAATTTCTATGAACTTTTCTGTGGAATAAAATTTGCTATTAGTTTCTATGACTTAGCCTGATTTTCCCAGGGTAGAGCTCACCTCACCTCTTACGTGGGGACACACACACATCCTGTGGTGGGAAGAACAAGCCAGCGCAGTCCCTTCCCTGGAACACCCAGTGGCTAAAAAAGCAGGCTTCAGGTCTCTGCTGTGGCTTTACCTTGCCTGAATGGAACTCCTCAGGAACGGGCCTTGCTGAAATCTGTCCCAGGAAACCTGCACACCAGTGTTTGTACCCAGGATCCAAACAGGCCCAGTCAGGAGACAGACTGTGTGGTGTCTGCTTTTCAGCTAAAATTCCCCAGGGAACGGTTGAGGCAAAAAACAGTCCATGTTTTTCCCCCTGAGGCTACAGTGTAAGGTGGGGGCGGGGTGAAATAGGCTGATTTGACTTTTATTCATTCATTTATTTATATTGGAAAGGCAGATATACAGAGAGGAGGAGAGACAGAGAGGAAGCTCTTGCTTGTGATGGGTCACACCCCAAGTGGCTGCAATGGCTGGAGCTGCGCCAATCAGGAGCCAGGAGCTTCTTCCCGGTCTCCAATGCAGGTTCAGGGTCCCAAAGCCTTGGGCCATCCTCTACTGCTTTCCCAGGCCACAAGCAAGGAGCTGGTTGGGAAGCAGAGAGCCGGGATATGAACTGGAGCCCATATGGGATCCCATCGTGTTCAGGGCAAGGAAAAAACATTTATTTCATACAGAGGGAGAGATGAAAACAGTCTTCACTGGTTCTCTCTCCAGTGGCCAGAGCTAAGCTGGTCAGGAGCCAGGGGCTTCTTCCAGGTCTTCCACCTGGGTGCAAGAGCCCAAGCTCTTGGGCCATCTTTTGGTGCTATCCCGGGGACCTGGACCAGGACTCAAACCAGCACCCATATGGATACTGATGCTGCAGCCGGTAGCCCTTGCTGCTACACCATAGCTCCAGGTTTGACTTACTCCAAAGCACCACATTTACCTTTAGGGCTTTTTGAAATTTAGTTTGTTAAAAGAGTAAGTGACTCAGTGGGTAAGTAGCAGTGAATTCACCCTTTGTGCCCTAAAAGAAAAGTGCTTCCCAGACCTGAAGGGTAGCTTCCCATAGTGAAATGTGTGGTTTTGCCCACAATGAATTTAACCATGTGGGAAAAATATACTTTATTTTTATGGGCACATGGTTTTAGATTTTACTCACAAAAACTGAAAGTATAAATGACCCACAGGGAAATACTTGCCTGACTGCCACGTCATGTCCATCCTCAGTCAAATTAAGGCATGTTCTTAAGTAATTTGTCTTGAGTAGATTTTTTTCCCCTTTAACACAGCAGACTTTGGTATCTGTGGTTGGCCATTCATCTTCCCAGTTCTCTGTTTCATTATCTCTGAACAAGTAGTGAACTGTAACACGTGAGAGAAGCTGTCTTAATGAGTGCGTTCTCCTTCAGATTTGCCATGGTGCTGAGTGACTAAGTTCTTATTAGTTGTGGCTGAAGTAGTATGGACCCGTATTCTCCTAGGCCAAACAGCACTGCTCAGCAGTCTCTGGACAAATCTTATCTCTGTGGTATTTCCACATTTCTCTGAGTGCGTTGGGTTTAGAAGTGGCGTTTACTTATGTGCAATTCACATTTTTTGTGTTTATTTCTCGTACTCTGTCACTGAATTCCTAGCAACAGACATCCCCTTGAGTCGCTAGCCTGCTAGGCTCTATACAGCATTCAATGATACTTTTAAGTTTTAATTTTGAGACACACCAAGAGAAGCAGGCAGATGAAACTCCTTTCTCTAGCTCACTACCCAAATTTCCACAACTGCAAGGCCAGAGTGAGCCAAAAAATCAGTCTAGTTCTCCCATGTGAGTTTCCGGATCACCACTACTTGAGCCATCACCTGCTGCCTCCCGCGGTGTTCGTTAACAGAAAGCTGAAATTGGACACAGACGCTCTGCTGTGGAATGCTGCTGTCTCAGGCAGCATCTCCAGACTACATCCCCAAACCACTTCCTCCCCGCCCCTCATGTTCTCTTTTAGTAACTGCAGTCTAGTATATTCAGTGTTAACCTCAAAGTGTGCCTGTCATGGAGATTAGACTGTCAAGATCCTCCACCCCGCAGTCCTGTCAGGATTGTGTTGGTTTAATCATCTGACTGCCATGGTCCTTGGAGAGACTTCCGGATGTCTGTGGTGCTTCTAACTTCCTTTAGAAAAGATGTATATGTTTTGTTTTGTTTTTTTGTCGGCAAACATCATAAGTGAGATTTCTAATAACTTGACAGCCTTTGGACCAGCAAACTACAGAAAATACATAGCTTCTACAGATGGCCTCCAAGAATTGGCACAAATAACTTCCCTCCTAGAATATTAGAAATATTTCATATTTTTCTTATGTTGACAATTGACTTATTTTAAGATGATGGAACTGAATTTCTGTTACTCCACTTTGCTGTGTTTTGTGCAGTAACTATATGCAGGTGCCAATACCTTCATATGCTCCCATGGTAGTCGCAGGTCACACACATTCAGGTTAAGGGAGCCTCACATTGACACTAAACTAGCGACACAAGGGGCGCTCAAAAATCTTGAGGGGGAAAAAAAACGAGCCCAAATCATAAGAATGGTAGTTTCCAAATTTGCTTTCTGTTATTTGAGATTCCCACCCCAAAACACCATCTGCTACCCATCTGTAGGAATAATGATCTTTTTATGTTTGTGAAATGCATTACAGTTTACCTCGTCTTTCTCCATACATGATTGTCTTCTGCAGTTAAAGAAACTGAAGCGGTGAGCTTTTTCAACTTGTCCGTGTCCTCAAAGCGAGTGTTTGACAAAGCCAGAGCTCTAAGTAACGTTCAGGTCTTCTGGTCCCAGATACGGAGCTTTTTCCCCTGCCATCCCAGTTGCTTTCTCAAAGACAGAAAAGCCAAACATGAGACACCTGTTCTCATGACCTTTTACTTTATTCTGTGACAAAAGATGATCCACACGAAAGTAAATACTGACCGTTCTCATTTCCAAATGCAGAAAGGTCTGCCGTCTTTTTAGCGTGAGCGTGGTTTGGTTTACTTGCTGGTTGTAGCAAAATAACCAAGGGGAAAAATGGCAAATTATAAAATGTATTTTCTTGATTTCTGTAATTGTTATTTTTCTAAATTAAACTAAATGTCCTCTGTCTTTAATAAAACAGAGGAGTGTGAGTATGTTTAAGATTTATTTATTTAAGAATCAGAGTGGGGCCCGGCGCGGTGGCGCAAGTAGTTAAAGGTCCTCGCCTTGCACGCCCGGGATCCCATATGGGCGCCGGTTCTAATCCCGGCAGCCCCGCTTCCCTTCCAGCTCCCTGCCTGTGGCCTGGGAAAGCAGTCGAGGACAGCCCAAAGCTTTGGGAACCTGCACCCGCGTGGGAGACCCGGAAGAGGCTCCTGGATTCGGATCGGCATAGTATCGGCCCGTTGCGCTCACTTGGGGAGTGAATCATCAGACGGAGGATCTTCCTCTCTGTCTCCTCTCTGTATATCCGCCTTTCCAATAAAAAAAATAATAAAAATAAATCTTTAAAAAAAAAAAAAAGAATCAGAGTGACAGAGATCTCCCTTCCTAAAATTTCCAAAACAGCAAGAGCTGGACCAGGTTGAAGGCAGGAGCCAAAAACTCCATTCAGGCGTGGCTGGTGGGAACTCAACTGCACCATCAATCTGATAGTTTCCCAGTTGCAATAGCAGGGAGCTGAGTTGGAGTCACACAGCAGCCAGGACTGCAACCAGACATTCTCATATGGCATGTGGGGATTCCAAGGCCGAGAGTATGTTTGTTTTATACTTGTGTCATTGCCTAAAGTTTCACATTGTAGATCTTTCTGACCAAATTGGGTCTCTGACTGGAGTTGTCTTCTCCACTCACTTCTAACTTGACCCTGAGTGTCAACTTTGTCTTCATAATTTCTATTGTAAACACCTCTTGTTTATGTCCTGGAATGGTCAGGACAGGTGCGCAGGCAGCCCTCACAGTGATTTAAGCACAACACCTTTCAGGAAGGCAGAGAAGCCACATCGGGAAGTCTGGCAGGAGCTCCTCAGCTTGCCTAGCGACACCTGGAGCTCCTGTTCAGGGCGTGTAGTGAGGTGCCAGGCGGAACAGCTGCTTGTGTGAAGAGATGTTCTTCCCTGATGCACTGGTGACTTTCTGCCTTCCTTCTTTTTACTCTAGCTCCAAACACTGATTCAGGAGACTGACCCCGGGGCCGATTACCGCATTGATCGAGCTTTGAATGAAGCCTGTGAATCTGTGATACAGACAGCCTGCAAACACATACGATCCGGAGACCCAATGTAGGTTTGCTCATCTCGGGTATTAAGCCATCTGGTGTTTTACTTGACAGCACAGAAAACATCCCCCCTCCATATGACTTTTGAGCGGTTTACTACATACCTGAAATTTTGCTGTACAAAAAACAAATCTTAGCTTGTGTCAAAACTAATGTTGTCATTGCAACTTCAAGTCTCTTACCTGTTATGAAGACACACCTAAACCCAGCAGCGTGGTGATGTTTGTTGATCGACTGAGCACATATGGACTTGTCTTTTATGTTAAGTCACTAAATAAATTCATTTAACGGTCAAGTATGAGGGAAGCACTCTGGATAAGGTGACACATAGATAGGCCTATGTGCTTTTCATCCTGTTTTCTATATATTGACTCTTGTGCACTGGCTGCTTGATAATCATTAGAAAATAGTCAATTATAACTGAAATAGGAAACAGAATATGATACTTGGGGTTTGTGTTCATGGACAAAATAAATACTAGTTTCTCATCTAAGAAGGCTGAACAGATGCTATCATAGAGTATTTCATTTTCATACATTGCTGTGATTTTGTGTAATCTGAAAACCAAGTTACTAGTAAGAGCAGGTTTCCCGTTCCATAAAAACCTTCAGAGCCTGTAGTTGGCAGTACCCAAAGGCAAAGTGTGTAGAGTCCATGTTTGTCATTGTTCTGTGCAAACTCCTACTATCCAGGCTCTGTGGGGGAACCAAAAAAAAAAAAAAAAACCAAGGCCATTTTCCTTAATTTTTAAAAACGATTTCATTTTGTTTGTTTGGAAAGCAGAATGACCAAGAAAGGGAGAGCAAGATTATCCACTGATTTACTCATGTGCTCCCAGCAGTCCAGGATGGGCCAGGCCAAAGCCAGGAACTCCACCCAGTTCCCCACTTGAGTGGCAGAGGCCCAAGTGCTTGAGCCGTCTTCTGCTGCTTGCCAAGGCGCATTATCGCAGAGCTGAATCCCAAGTGGAGCAGCAGGAACTCCAGTCAGCACTCTGACGTGGGATTCTGGCATCACAGCAGCTCAACCTGCTGTGCCACAACACCAAGCACATTTCTGTATGTTTTTGTGTGTTTAGATGAGACAGACACTAACCAGGATCTCTTACCAATATAGAAATAACAACGCCAGACAAAGGAGAGAGAGGAGGGACATGCTAAAGTAGATGGAAGGTCATCTCACCTTCATGCACTGTATGGACTTTTTCTGGGTCCTGATTTAAATAACACATAAAAGACATGAAATAATTGGAAAACTTTGACAACAATCATAATCTCATGTGACATTAGGATGTTTTATTAATTTGTTGATGCTGTGCCAGTGGTATTCTCGTTTTAGAGAAGCATTCTGAAGTGTATTTCCTAATGAAATGGTAAAGTATCTGGGATCTGCTTTAGAATATCAGCAAGACATGCTAGAGTTTAGATAAAGCTCTGGAGAGGAAAGGTGGCTGTTACATGGGTGCTGCTGTGTGCATTGGGAAATTTTCCTAATCAGCAGTTAAAAACAAAGCAGCTTCGCACAGATCTCGTGCCCCCTGAGTCCCGAGTGGTAAGTGGCTCTGAGACTGATGGCAGTGTCACAATCAGGTTCAGTTGAGTAATCCTCAGGAAAATTAATCAGAACACTTGTCTCTTCCATTCTCGCTGTTTGGCGGCTAGGATCCTCTCGTGCTTGATGGAGCATTTGTACACAGAGAAGATGGTGGAAGATTGTGAGCACCGTCTCTTGGAGCTGCAGTACTTCATCTCCCGAGATTGGAAGTGAGTATTTTGAAGGGAGAGCAACTGTATTGCCTCAGGCTATTCCACTGTTTCATCACCGTCACCCATGAATTTGAAAATAATCAGCAGGGAATTATCTTTTGAGGTTATAGGATAGCTAATAATGTACTCCATCCCCTGCTTCTTGTCCCCCCTCACCCCTCAAAAAAATAAACCAAAAAGCAGATTATTGGAAAGACAGTTTTACAGAGAGAAGGAGACACAGTAAGATATTCCATCCACTGGTCCACTCTGCAAGTGGCTGCAATGACCAGAGCTGAGCCAATCAGGAGCCAGGAGCTTCCTCTGGGTCTCCCAAGCAGGTGCAGTGTCCCCAGGGCTTAGGCATCTGCCACTGTTTTCCCAGGCCATAAGCAGGGAGCTGGATGGGAAGAGGAGCATCCGGAATATGAACCGGTGCTCATGGGATCCCAGTGGATGCAAGGCAAGGATTTAGCACTAGGCTACTGTAATGGGCCCAACAACATGTCCTTTATTGCTTTCAAGCAAAGTCAGAGCCACTGCCAGTTTGTCCTGAACATCCTTTTATTTCCTTTAAATATTCAAAGTTATTGTTTGTGTTGTCGTAAGCAAAAATCTTTTCTGTAAGTTTCAATTTAATTCTCTTAATTCCCTTCTCATCCTGTTAGCAAAGAAGCGTGGGTGGAGGGAGTGCATGGTGGGGTAAGAGTAGGCTCTGTTACCCTGAATCATCCAGTTGGTCTGGGTCCCGCCACCCCCACTGCAGTGCAGCCCAGTGCCTCTGCCTGCTGCTCCGCTTCCCCAGGCTCAGCTGCTTGCAGCTTCTGTTGTCTCAGCCGTGGGATGGGGCTCATAACTTTTTCTGGAATCCATGTATGTATCACTCATGTAGAAGAAGATTGAGTGTGGTTTTGTGTCGGTTATTTCAGCTTAGCTTTGGAAAGGAGTATACATAGATGGGAAGCATTTTCCCTGTGCTTGTTCAGGCCAGTAATTTACTAAGTATACCACCTTAGTCAAAATCATGCTGTCCCCTTTGATACCTTCCCTCTTCATTAAAAACAATGCTTTGTATTATTAAAAAGCACTCAATAAATACAGGCTCCTCCCCCAGTCAATAGTCCTCCCACCTGAAGTTGATAATATAACGTGGACAAAATTAAGCATCCCTTAGTCTTACTTCGGGGAGAAGCAGGGTTATTGCCTAATCCACTGTCCCTACATTGGAAATTATGTCAGGTTCTGTAAATAAGTGAGCATGCTCAGGTAAGCGAAAGAACAAATGGGAAAAAATGCTTTTTCAAGAAAGTCAGATTGGGGACTGTTTCTCTGGCCGTTTTTCTGATCTCACAAAGTCCAGTGTATCAAGTAGGATTGGACCTCATTTCTACTTAGAAAAAAAGTGCTAAGCAAAGAAAGCCGTGCCTTACTTGGTGGCAGCTGTTACCTTGGTTTATTCCAGCCAGGGTGTCTGTCCATAATGGCAGTGTGAGGTCCCTTACTTAGCCAAAGTGACATCTTTGAGGCAGACCTTACTCTTGCACGAGGGTGAGCAAACTCGTACGTATGGGCCATGCTGTGTGATTTATGAACACAAATCAGGAGTGTACTTTTGCCACCTTCTGTCTCCGCTGCCCCGAAGTGGTCATCAGCGAGTACTCGGTGTATGCTGGAAAGGATGTGTAGGAAGCAGTGGTCACCCCTGGCCTCTCATCCTCGCAGGCTGGACCCCGTCCTCTACCGCAAGTGCCAAGGAGATGCTTCTCGCCTTTGCCACACCCACGGCTGGAACGAGACCAGTGAACTCATGCCTCCTGGCGCCGTGTTCTCCTGTTTGTATAGACACGCCTACCGCACCGAAGAGCAGGGAAGAAGGGTATGCGTCCACATTGGCCCCATTTCTTCTCACCATCCTGTGTTTCTCAATAACTTGCTATGATTTCCCGTCATCGCCAAGGAAAACTTGTTTAGTGTATTGGGTGGGGAGAGGTTGTCAGTACCGGAGCTTCTTCGTTCAGCTGCTGTGTCTGCACTTGACCTACCGGCTGCTTTCTACCTGGCTTTATGTTACTGACAAAGTGATTAGGGGAAACTCCCAGGTTTTTTTTTTCTTTAAATTACCGAAATCTGAATCACAGATGGGCAATTAAATTCTGCTGTCCTAACTTTATTTAGCTTTAAAGATCCATTAGAAGCTTTTAGCCAGGATACAAATGGTTCCTCAGGCTTCTGTCCTTGGCAGCTGGACTCATAATGTGATATTGATGATGCTTCCCCGACAGCTCGCTGGTAGCAACGGAAGCCTCCATCCACACCCTGCCTCTCGGTCGCTGTCTTTCCCGACTGCTGCCTTTCGCAGAATATTCTGAGGTGCTTGGCCCTGGGTGCCACACTGACAGTGCTGCTGGCTCGCCCCCTCTGAGATACTGAGTCACTAGTCCTTCCTGCTTGGTTACAGAAGTACAATGGTACTTCTTCAGATGAATGCTTGCAAAGACCCTTCTGAGCTTCACGTGGAAGCCTTGCTCTTGGACCCATTGCTACCCCTCATGTAGGGAAGCAGTGTTGTGTTTCAGTAACTGCATTCCTGGCCCAAAGTTTCTTCTCTCTCTTTTTTTTTAAAGATTTATTTATTTTTATTGGAAAGTCAGATATACAGAGAGGAGGAGATAGTGAGAAAGATCTTCCGCCTGATGGTTCACTCCCCAAGTGAGTGCAACAGCCGATGCTATGCCGATCCGAAGCCAGGATCCAGGAACTTCTTCCAGGTCTCCCACACGGGTGCAGGGTCCCAAGGCTTTGGGCCATCCTCGACTGCTTTCCCAGGCCACAAGCAGGGAGCTGGATGGGAAGTGGAGCTGCCGGGATTAGAACCGGCACCCGTATGGGATCCTGGTATGTTCAAGGCGAGGGCTTTAGCCGCTAGGCCACGCTGCCAGGCCCCCAACGTTTCTTCTCTTAGAAATGAAGAAAGGATTGCAATGTGGTACATAAGCTTTTTTTTTTTTTTTTAATGAATTTCACGTAATGTGAAGTTTAATGTGAAGAAAGTCAGTGGTTTTTATTGTATTCATACAATGTGTGTGACCAGCATCTCTGTCTTGTTTAAAAATACTCCATGACTTCAAAAGGAACCCGGTACCTGCAAAACAGTTTATCTTTCATGATGGAGAGACAGGCCATCCCCGTCCGTATCAGCTTTCTGCCAGTCTCCTCCTTCTGCTAATCCTGCCACCCTCATGCAGAGGAGCTGGTCCCATGTATGTGGGTGCCTGGGCAGGTCAGTTTGAACTCACTGCTCCCAACCAAGTGTGTATTTTCTCTAGAATTGGATGTGCATTCCACATTGCATTCACAGAATGACAAAGTAGTTTTGCTAAATAAACAGTAAACTGTCTAATCTTACTGAATCCAGTTTACATTTATCAAGATTGTCTCAGAAAAGGATTTTCTTTTATGTAGCAGATTAGAAAATGTGTGTGTAGTTGCACTCCAGAGATAAGGATGGTTAGACTCCTCCTGGAACACTTAGCTCTTGTTCTAGAAAAAACCAGATGTATAAAGTTTGGTAGCTAAAGTACTTTGTTCCCAGACAGCAAATTTGATCTAGTATTTTCATGTATATGCACATATTAAACAATCCATGGAAATTGGATTAAAAATTAATTGTGGTACAAAATTTGAAATCCACAGCATCCAAGGACTGTTAATACTCAAGGGGGGGAAATATTTTTTTCAGTAAATAAAACCAAGAAACATACGTGATGAATGCATGTTCTAAAAAAAAGAAGAAAAAAAAAACCCAACTATTTCAGATTTTCTTTGCACTTATTTTTTAGTTCCATTTTTCACAAACTTTCGAAGCGCTCTCACCCTTGGTGTGTTCCTGTAACACCTCCTGCTCGTTTTGTGTCATGCAGCTCTCTCGTGAGTGCCGTGCTGAAGTCCAGAGGATCCTGCACCAGCGGGCCATGGACGTGAAACTGGACCCGGCCCTGCAGGATAAATGCCTGATTGACCTGGGGAAGTGGTGTAGTGAGAAGACAGAGACGGGGCAGGTGAGCGACAAGGTCTTGCCTTTTTCTTATTTTTACAAGCTACAGTAAGTCCTTTTCTGTGAGGAAAATGTCAGTATATACATCTTTACATAAAGACTGTTATATATAAATAGAATGGATTTCCTAGAATGGCTCTACAAGACAGGTGGAAATGTAATTGTTTTCTCAATTTAATTTGGCTGGGTATGTATTTCCATTCAATTCTAGCCTGTCTATACAGGTATAAATAGAAAGAAGGAATAGCCCCCTAGTTACCTGCATGCCATGGGCGGTTTCTGTGAAAGCTATGTCTGATCTAAGAAGGACAAAGATGCAGTAGTACAGATTAGCTGGGTAGGTGGTCCTCTGCGCAGACCTTGGCTTCCAAGGCCCAGACTAGGGAACATGATTCCCAGGCCTCAGTCTGCCCGTCTGTTTTGGAATTTCCCCCAAAGGGTCTGTTTGATGTGGCTGGATTAGAACCCCAGATCTGGCTGGCAGGAGCTGTCGACTCTGTGTTGTCCCAGACTCCAGGTGCCACCTGCCTTGCCCATGAATAGGCTTAAAGTGATCCTGCCTTTTCCTTAGGATGGAGTTGTCTGATGATCTTTATCAAGTGTATATTTTAGATCAGAAGTAAGAATGATCAAAACACAGAATAGCGGGGCATTGATAGAGTAGGGTAAAGGCCTTTTAGGGTTTTTCAGACTGCGAGCATATCTGGGGATCTGTTCTTGTTAGATCCATAAATTTGGCCTTAAGAGGGATTTACAAGTAAAATTACCCTTTGGCCTCCTTTCTCTGCTAAACCAAGTAATTATCTTTTGAACATATTGATTTTGAGGAATGACACGAAGCCTTTTTGTTCTGGTCATGGTATTCTAGAAGAGAAAAGGAGCAGTGGTGTGTTGGCTGCCGCTCTCTTTCTGTGCCTGCTAAATGCCACGGGCTTGCCTTCCTGTCTGCAGGAGCTTGAGTGCCTCCAGGACCACCTGGATGACTTGGCTGTGGAATGCAGAGATATAGTCGGCAACCTCACCGAGCTAGAGTCCGAGGTAAGTGGCCTGCGACGCCTCTGAGAACAAGGCCTGCCAGCGCCAAGCCTGCTCTGCTTACTTCTGCTATGAGTAGAAATCAAAAGAAATCTAATCAGATGCTCCCCCATTTGCTTTACAAAGAAATGTACTACGTTGCTTCCTGGCTTCTTCCCTCTTCTCTAGAAAAACATTCTATGCTGTTTTCCTCGTGAGTTAGCCCAGCAATTACACCTTTGCTGGAGGAACACTTGGCCACTGTCCTCCCACTGAAGGGTGGCCCACTGAGGGGCATTCCTGTTTGTTATACTGCTTAGCAGTGTCTGGGTGTTTAGTGCACTAAAAGCCTGAAACTCCCACGTGAACCTGGAACATAGAAGACAAGTTTATCCCTGTTGTCTCCTGAGAGCCACTAAAATTCAAAACATGAAATTTCAGAAACCTTATGCGTGGACATATTGTCTGCGAATACAGAGGTTATTAGCATGGCAGGAGTGCAGGTAAGAATGTCAGGGATGCAGTGGGCCCCTGCTGGGGATGCCACTGTCCCAGCTCATCTGCTTCAGACCTGGCTTCCTAGTAGTGTGCCTGGTAGGCAGTGACTAATAGCACAAGAGCCTGGGCCTTTGACACCTTCCTTGTCTTATAAATAAAAATAAACTTCTTTGTTGTCATTGTTGTTTAAAAAAAGAAAAAGACTCCACCCTGAAAGTAATATAAGAACAGAAGTTGCAGAAATGGAGAATTGCCTTTTTTTTATCACACACTTTTTGTGCTATTTGAATTGTCCAAATTGGCAGTATATAGTTACATTTCCCACCTGGTCCTTCATTGATTTGTAACATTCAAAGGTGTGCTGCCTCCTCTCAGCCTTCTGTCATTTCTCAATGTCCTGTGGGTTTACAAGGACATCCGTGGGTGCACAGCTCCTGAACAGAAGATGCTGTGGAGCAGTAGTGAAGGTGTGTGTGCGTGTCCCTGTCACAGTGGCTTGCCCTCTGTTTGAAGCCCCTGGCCTGATGTAGGAACTTATCACTGACAGCATTAAAAACGAAAAAACAAAAAACTCCAATGGTTATTTCTCCCTCTTTTCTTAATTCTGGCTTCTCTTTGGTTTGGACATGAGGGGAATCTACAGAAAAAAAAAATCTGTCTTCTAGAGAATGGTGGAGGAGTGTTTCTGCCTGCGGGCCTTGCCTGACATAAGGACCGGGGTCCTCCCCAGATGCACACACTTCCTTATTTGCCCTTCACATGCTACTGATTATGAAAGAGAAAATCCTCTTCCTCCAGCCCTGGCTCTTTCTAAAGCAGAATTATTAAGGTATTTCATCTTTTACAGGATATTCAAATTGAAGCCTTGTTGATGAGAGCCTGTGAGCCCATCATTCAGAACTTCTGCCATGTAAGTGACACCTGGAGAAATTCCCTGGGACGGGGCCCTGAGTATGTCGGACTCTTCTCAGTGTGTTACTCCAGAGTGACAGCCAGCTTTGGCAAGTTAAGATTGAACATGTAAACAACATCCCAAGAGAGGAGCCACTGTCCTGAGAAACCTTGTTTGATGAGCCTTTGAAGGATCCAGCAAGTGTGTAGTTAGTAGCAGTCACTGAGATGCCCTTTGCAACGAAGAGCTGTCACTTCCCAGACAGCAGCCCAGCAGCTGTTAGCAGCAGCAGTGACTTCTCCTGCCAGCTCTCTCCTCATACTTTAAGATTGAGTGAATTCTGTTCCTTTATTGGCTGTTCAACTCATTGAAAAAGATCAGTTGTGACTGTTAGATTCTACAGAGCAAGGAGCTGTATGGTTGCCACCCTGTGAAGACCATGAAAGGCACTGGTCATGTGTGTTCTTGCCTCCTGCAGAACACCTGCCGTGTGCTTTTCATTCTGCTAAGTGTTTGCTTTGTGGTTTCTCAGGTTCATTTTTGCTGTAACTTACAGAATGTGTCTTCCTCCTGAAGGCTTCTAGAATCTGTCCAGTTTGCGTGTTTCATGGTCTAAGCAGCAAGCTTTATTCATCACCTATTACAAAAAAGGAATAAATGTGCCCTGTGTTCACTAGGACGTGGCAGATAACCAGATAGACTCAGGGGACCTGATGGAGTGTCTGATTCAGAACAAACACCAGAAGGAAATGAACGAGAAGTGTGCCATTGGAGTCACCCACTTCCAACTGGTGAGTGACATCTGGCTGTTGATCTTGTCCCTGCCACCTGGTACTTACTGAATCCCTCCTTGTTGTGAACGCTCACTCTTTCCAAACGCGTATCCTGCTGCTTGTTCTCAGCAAAGGCAGTTTTTCCTGCTGTGGCCAGGCACTCGGTTAGGCCCTTGAAATTCAGTGACGTTGAGTAGAACATGGTCCAGTCTGCTGGGGACTGAGACAAGTGAGCAGGCGTCTGCTGCTGCAGGCACTGCACTCGCTCAGGAATGTTAGCCTCCCCTTCCATGTCCTCACTGAAACCGTTGTGTCTTTGTACTGGTTTTGTGCGAATACACTGAACTCTGAATCTTTTTTCTTTTAAATTAGACCATCCTCTTGACAATTACCACATGTACTTGAGGGAGGTAACTTCCTTCCAAGAAGTGGCAGTCTGGCCAGCTGTGGTAATGACCTCTCCCCAGGGCCCAGGGCCTTGCTGATTATGTATTCCATGAGTGCCTGGCGCTGGGAGACAGTGGTGAGATGGCACACCCCTGCCCTGTGTACAGATACAGATGTAGTCTCCAGGGCTTCTGTGAAGAGAAACAAAACAGCAAGGGCTACAAGGAAAGAGGATTTCAAATGGAAGTGCTTCAGTAGACATCTCAAGGAAGTAGCAGAGCCAATCACAGGAAGATCCGGGAATGGAGTTGTTAGGGCGAAGGAAGGGGCACATGTGGAGTTGGAATGATGGTGAAGGCTGGGTTCCTGTAGCAGAGGAGGATGAGAAGTAGGCCAGAGTCACCCAGGTCAGAGCCTCCCCTCTTCTAAGTGGGGTCTAAAAGCCTGTGTGAGTAAGATGTCACCCACCAGACTGGCAGCCTGCACACACTTCTAACTTCATTTCTCATCATCTTTCAGGTACAGATGAAGGACTTTCGGTTCTCTTACAAGTTTAAGATGGCATGCAAGGAAGATGTGTTGAAACTTTGCCCCAACATAAAAAAGAAGTATGTAGCTTTTAATTGATTTGTTCTGCTTCCCTAAAGTCCCTCCAGTATTGTTTATTTCTAGAATTATACATTTAGCATTTTGGAACCATGGTTGACCCAAAATATCAAGATTGTAAAATAAAACTGGATAAGGGGAACTACTATGCAAAATTTCTGCTTTTAAAATTGAAAAAAAAAAAGCAGTGAGACTGTCAGGGAAGGTACCACTTGTGAGTAAATGACGCGGCCTTGTCCTTCCCGGCAGGGTGGACGTGGTGATCTGCCTGAGTACCACCGTGCGCAACGACACTCTGCAGGAGGCCAAGGAGCACCGAGTGTCCCTCAAGTGCCGCAAGCAGCTCCGTGTGGAGGAGCTGGAGATGGTAATGGCAGGTGCTGGGGCTGGCTGGGGGACTGCAGCCTCTGCCATGCTGGTGAAGACAGGCCACCATGTACTAAAGTTTCACCATGTGTACAGCTTCTTGCTTCATTGTTTCGCTAATGTCCATAGAACATTTTTTCCCTAAGTTCCTGGAATTCAGGCTGTAAGATGAGCCATAAATGTGTGAGTTGATCGCTGGATAGAAGTGCTCCCAAAGATCAGGGCCTTTGCTTCTGCCTCTGCTGAGGAGGTGTGTCCCCAGCTGCCCACACGTTGCCTTCCCGTAGCCCCGGGCTTCCCGCTCCAGTGTGCATCCAGAAAGTATGGGGGGAGATTGGGAGAGAAACCTCTTTCCCTTGCGCTTGATTCTGTCAGCATGGAGAGTCTCTTGCCATTCCCTGACCAGGGGTATTCATAGGGATCCCGTGCCCGAAGAGCTCACTGTCTGCCGGGGGGGGAGCAGTACTGTGAAGGTGTCCACACTGTGCACTGCAAGGGACTTCTTGCTTTACTTATGAGTAGAGCCAAAATGATAGCTCAGAGACAGCTAAAATAGCTCTGAGGTATTTAATGCCTCAGTATGTACTTATTTCACCTCATTGTAAGCAAAACTGAGCAATGGAAACCAAGCCCCATTAATACCCCAAAAATTACTCAACCCCATTTCCACATACAGTGGCAGTGATTTGGTGGTTTTTTTAAAGTAGTGTGGCCTACATGTGCTGCAATGATAGAGACTTGTTTAATTTACAAACTTTGGGCCTACGTCTTTTAATTAAAAAGAAAAAAGAAGTAGAACCTTACCATAACAGTAGTTTTACCTTTGTATTGTGGTTGTCACATTATCGTCCAACTGTGGGCCCCTGCTGGGTGGATATGTCATTTTGCTTCACAAGGAAGACATGTTCAAGGCCGTGTAGCCACGTGTGGTAGAATGGAAGTCAGCCATAGGCTTTCCTGTCTGGGTGCTGCCACTGTCCCTTTGCGGTGTAGTCGTGTGGTAAATCAGGCTTTAGAATGTTAGATGCATATGACAAGCTCACTTCTCACCACTCCCTCGCATCCAGACAGAGGACATCCGCCTGGAGCCAGATCTGTACGAGGCCTGCAAGAGCGACATCAAAAACTACTGCTCCACTGTGCAGTATGGCAATGCACAGGTAACCTTTGCCTTTGTTTTAAATGGAAACATTACGTGAAGCTGGCATTTTCATGACTCCTCCTCTGCCGGTAGGACAGGCCACAGCTGTCCTGTGCACACGTATCCCGAGTCTGAAGCTGTCCGGCCTGCCTGGCAAAGCTCCACATTGTGCCCTCCTCCGTCTCCTTCCTTTCCTTTGCCCTTGTGGTTACTCCAGCCTTCCCCGCCTTGTCTGCCTGATGTGCGTCTAATGATCCTTCGGCAGCTACCTCCTCTCTGTAGCTTTCCCAACACTCAGCGACTCCAAGGACAGTTATTCCATCACACAGAACCTCTTATTAGAGGCCACATGAGAATCACCTGGGAAACGTTTTTTAAGATTTGTTTCTTTTGGGGACCATCACCCTAGCTCAACAAGTTGATCCTCCTCCTACACTGCCAACATCCCATATGGATATCAGTTCTAGTCCTGGTTGCTCCACTAACAATCCAGCTCCCAGCTTATTGCCTGGGAAAGCAACAGAGCATGGCCCAAGACCTTGGGCTCCTGCACCCATGTGGAAGACCCAGAGGAAGCTCCTGTCTTCTGGCTTGGGATTTGCTCAGCTTCAGCCATTGTGGCCATTTGGTGAGTAAACCAGTGGATGGAAGATCTCTCTCTTTCCTCTGTGCAAAACTGCCTTTCAAATAAAAATTAATATTTTTTTAAAAGATTTTTAGAGCCTATTTATATAAAAATTTTATATTTATTTGAAAGTCAGAGAGAGTGAAAGAACTCTTCCACACCCACTCCTAGTTTACTCCCAAACTGGCTGCAAGTGCCCAGAGTGGGTAAAAGGAGACAGGAGACCCAACTCCATCCTAGTCTCTGAGGTAGGTGACCAGGGTACAAGTACTGAGGCATCTACCACGCTTTCCCAGGTTCATTAGCAGGAAGTTGGATCAGAAGCCAGGCAAGTGGGAGTCAAATGTGGGACATGTGTGCTGTTGGCAACCACTTAAATGCACTATACCATGAAGCCAGCCCCTCATGTGGGAAATAGTGCCCTATCCAGAACCACCAGGAATGATGTACAAAAAGATGACTTTTTAGGCTTTAATGTTTAGTGTTTTGTGGTATGTGTGTGGTTTGATTTTTCTTGTTTGTTTGTTTTGTTCTGTTTTGTTTTTTTAAGATTTATTTATTTGAAAGGCAAGATTACAGAGGCAGAGGGAGAAAGATCCTCCCTCTGATTCATTTCCCAAATATCCACAATGGCTGAGACTGGGCCAAGGCGAAGCCAAGAATGAGGAGCTTCTTTTTGGTCACCCATATAGATGCTAGAACCCACACACTTGGGCTGTCTTGCACTACTTTTGCAGGCCTATTAGCAGGGAGCTGGATCAGAAATGGAACAACCAAGACTCAAACCAGCATCCATGCCTAATGTCAGTGTCCCGGGTACTAGCTTAATTGGCTATGCCACAGCACCAGCCCCAAAACTCCACTTCTGTCCAGCCTCCTGCTCATGTATTCTAGGAAGCAGCAGATGTCAGCTCAAGTGCTTGGTTCCCTGTGGCCTGTGTGAGAGCCTGGGATTATTAAATCCATGGTTATTACATGCACTTGGGGATTGAACCAACAGATGAAAGATTGATTATTGGTCAGTTGAGGGGTATGTGTCACTCGGCCTTTCAAATAAATAAGGCTAGGTCTGTCGTGCTTCCTGCCAAAAGCAGCCCCCAAATGTGGTCCTGCTGCTATGTCAGACTTAGTCTAAGGATAGTGGTCATGAAGCAGCCATCACTGCGCCAGCCTTGGCTACTGGAACAGGATGGTGGGCCCAGCAAAGGTTCATGGAGAAGGTCTCTAACTAAGCTAAGGGGAAAGAGCCACTCTCACTGGCAGGGTGCTTTCTCATCTCAATTCAAGGAAGAACCCACTGTGTGTATGGTGGCTATAGAAATAATACTAACAAATCCATTCCCATTTCTTCTCCTTTCTCAGTTCTTTGGAAAGTTGTGACTAGGGGAATCTTACTTGCTTTGACTGTCTTGTGTGCTATGAGCAATGGAGTAGAAGTAATTCTAGAACATTTTACTTATAGTGTAATAGGTCACAAATGCAAAGCATGATTTGTGAGAACATGTATAGTTCTTCCATTATAAGTCTTTCCTGCCATCAGCATTATGGCATAGCATCATGCATGTGGCAAGCCCCCTCTTGAATCACCACTGTCAGAGAGGCGTGCTCATTCTAGTCCTGGCTGCTCCCAATTTGGCTCCACTGCCTGGGAAGGTTCCTGTGGGAGACCCGGAAGTTCTTGGTCCTGGCTTTAGCCTTGCTTGGTCCTCCCTGTTTGTGGAGATTGACCCCAGTAGATAAGAGATTTTCTCGTTCTCTATCTGCCTTTCAAATTAATAAAAGATCTTTTGTTATTTCCTACCAAACTAAACTTAACTTTTCATGGGAGGAGAAGACAGATGAGAGAGATCTTCCTTTCACTGATTCACTCCCCAAGTGGTCACAACATACAGGGCTGTACCAGTCTGAAACCAGGCTCCCACCTACGTAGCAGAGTCCCAAGCGCTTGTGTCATCATCCACTGTGATTCCAGGCAGAAGACAACAGGGTCCCAAGCACTTGTGTTTTCGTCTGCTGTGTCCCCAGGCACACAAGCTAGAGCAGAAGCAAAGCACTGAGTCAGTGCCCTGGTCAAGGGACGCCAGTGTCAGATGCAGTGACCTTACATTGGCCCCTTCATCACTGTTACTTCCACTAGGACATTGATTGTCCTGGCTTCTGGAGCTCACCCAGGCAGTTGGACATCTAAGACTGGTCTTCATGTCTCTAATATTCCCTCTGGTGGTCCCTGTATCTTCCATTTCTCTCTGCTGCATGTGAGGGCTTCTTCAATCCTGTTTCCCTGCCTCAGTTTATTCTTCAGCTCTGTGCGAGTTGGGTTTTGTTTTGCATTTCTTGGATCTCTGTTTGGTTCTTCTTACAGCTCTCTCTTCTTGGTGCTTGTCTACTGTTTCCTTCTGAATGGTTCTGAGAATATTTAATGTATTTTTCAGCTTGCTCTCATCACCCTATGACCGTAGTCCCTCTGTTTTGAATCCTTGGTTAATATATGCACGGTCTTCTTGTAGCATTAGTGTTCCTCACATAGCTATTGGGTTAGCCATCCCGGATACTTAACCTGATATCTTATGCCACAGATTATTGAATGCCTTAAAGAAAACAAGAAGCAGCTGAGTACTCGTTGCCACCAGAAGGTGTTCAAGCTACAGGAGACAGAGATGATGGACCCGGAACTGGACTACACCCTCATGAGAGTCTGTAAGCAGATGATAAAGGTAAGAGGTCCAAAACCAGGGCCAGCACAGGAAAGGTGGAAACAACATCACAGACGTGTGCAGCCTGTTTTTGCAGCTGAGACAGCCACCAGCTGTGGTCCCCAGACTGGCAGTGGCCACCTCCCCTGGGAGCTTACACAGACTTGCACCAAGCCCAGGTCTGAGTCAGAGTGTCAGGGAGAGGTGCAGGGACTCTTGTCACACAGGCCTTCACACAGTGCTGGTACATGTTCAGGTTTAAAACTCACAACCTTGCCCGACACATAAAGATGGCAATATAAGATTGGCTAGTGGGTGGTTAGTGGTAGGCACCCCGAGAAAGCCACTACCATTGCCCTTCAGGTGTCAATGCCCACTCTTAGATGTTTCTTTTGGGCAGGTTCCTCTGCTTCGCTTCCTCCTGTTGGACAGTCTCAGCTGCTCCTCAGCTGTCCAGATACGTGGAGATGAACCTTCAGGTTCCAACTCCTTGTTTCAGTTTTCCTTTGAAATCATATGCCACTTTCTCATTCTCACAGCAATTCTAAAGAGAGTTTCGAACATTAGAAGCCTAAATCTGCTTAGCTGGCCTGGTACACTTGAGGATTTTCTGGTTTGCTTGTTTGTTTAATTAGTAATGAAGATTCTGTTTAAAAAAAGAGAAGGAAATGAATTTCCAGGGCCAGCATTTGTTTTGTTTTGTTCATTTTATTTTTTATTAGGAACTCAGATATACAGAGAGATACATTGAGGAAGATCTTCCATCCACTGTTTCACTCCCCAAGTGGCCACAAAGGCCAAAGCTGAGCTGATCCGAAGCTGGCACCAAAAGCCAGGACCCTCTTCCTTGTCTCCCACATAGTTGTAGGGTCCCAGGGCTTTGGACCATCTTCTACTGCTTTCTGACGCCACAAGCAGGTTGCTGGATGGGAAGCAGAGCAGCTGGAATATGAACCAGTGCCCATATGGGATCCTGGTGGATGAAAGATGAGGATTTAGCCACGAGGCTATTGCACCAGGCCTGAGCCAGTGTTTTGATGCAGCAGACTAAGCCACCTTGCACTGCTGACGTGTCGTATCAGTCACAGTGTTCTACCTCCAATCCAGCTAATGTGCCTGAGAAGGCTGCAAATGATGCCCCAAGTACTTGGACCCCTGCCACCCATGTGTGAGGTCAGGATGCAGTTCTGGAAGATACTATCCTTCTCCCTAATCAAAAGGACAGGAGAGGGGAGGGGAGAGACAAATCTCAAGAGGGAAAAGAAAATTCCACCAACAGGCGCTGTCCCTGTATTCAGTGATAGGTTGTAATCACACACAGTGAGACAGCTGAGAATGGGGCCATGATGCACTAGTGTCCCAATTCGAGTTTGTCATTTAATGTGACAATTAAATTCCTGTGGATTGGCAGACAGAAATGGGGCTGGTACTTAGCCCAAAACTCACTTCTGGCAGGCAGGCCAGTACAGCACACGTACACTAGCCGCTCAGCTAGGGGAACCAGATGGTTTTTACCACACATCCCCGTTCACACTAGGGCATAGCTAAATATGGTTTAAGGGCTGGATGCCCACCAGGTACAGTGTTACATTGGTGCCTAAATAATAATGAAGCTCATGGGATGCCATGTAATTTAGTAAAGCCATGTGGTTTGGAAATCAGTCCCACACAGAGTAGCAAGTAGTGAGGCAGTAGGAAAAAATGTGAGAAATGCAGTTGAGCTTCGGTAAGGACGACAGAGTTGGGGTGGGCGCCTGCTCTGGCCTGGCTCTTCTCACACCGTGTAGGAGCCTCATCACTGATGGGCTCAGTGGAATGACTCTGAAACCTTGTTTCTTTGCAGAGATTCTGTCCAGAAGCAGACTCTAAAACCATGCTGCAGTGCTTAAAGCAAAATAAAAACAGTGAACTGATGGACCCCAAGTGCAAGCAGATGATCACCAAGCGTCAGATCACCCAGAATACAGGTGAGCACGCACCCCAGTGCAACGCGATGGAGAGGACGTGTGGTCGGCCGAGTCAGCTACAGGGGAGTCTGATTCTGGTCTCAGTCGGTTTTTTTGTTTTTTTTTAGTTTGTGTGTGTGTGTGTGTGTGTGTGTGTGTGTGTGTGTGTGTGTGTGTGTGTGTGTGTGGTGTGTGTGTGTGTGTGTGTTTTGGTTTGTTTTTTCTCTCTCTGTCTCTCTAAGACTTATTTATTTGAAAGGCCAGATTACAGAGAAAGGTCTTCCCTCTTCTAATTTAATCCACAAAAGACTACAGCAGCCAAAACTGGGCACAGCTGAAGCCAGGAGCTTCATTCAGGTCTCCCACATTGGAGGCAAGGGCCTAGGCATTGGGGCCGCATCTGCTGCTTTCCTAGATGCTCTAGCACGGAGCTAGATGGGCAGAACAGCTGGGATATACCAGCACCCATATAGGATGCTGGCATTGCAGGTGACACTGCACCACAACACTGTCCTTCACAAACCCCTGGGATGTCCTTGAGTGGACACATACTGCTGGCTGGCTTCCCATATGGATGGCAGTCTGAGTTCCCGTTTGCTCTGCTTCTGATGGCAGCCCCCTGCTTTTTGCCTTGGAAAGCAGCAGAAGCTATCCGAAGTCCTTGGGTCCGTGTACCAATATCAGAGACTCAGAGAAGCAGTAGATGGAGAATCTTTCCCTCTGTGTGTGTGCATATGCATGTGTGTCTCTACCTCTGCCTTTCAAATAAATCTGTAAAAACAAAAGCAGTGGCTGTTATCAGGTCGTTGACATGTCCCGTACAGGACAGAGGAAATCCAAAAACGTGTAATCCAGTGTGATGCTTTCTCTTGCTCTAGATTACCGCTTAAACCCCGTGCTGAGGAAAGCCTGTAAGGCCGACATACCTAAATTCTGTCACAGTATCCTGACGAAGGCCAAGGACGATTCAGAGCTGGAAGGCCAGGTCATCTCCTGCCTAAAGCTGCGGTATGCCGACCAGGTAAGCTGGGGTTTGTGGTGCTACTTCTGTTCCTGGAGCATCCTCTTCTGAAACCCCTGGCTTGCTCCTGATTTCCCAAGACCTTTTCGTGCTTTCCCCAGGCCAGGGGCTCAGGGCCAGGTCAGGGCTGACATGTCCTCCCTCCGTCCTACACAGCGCCTGTCTTCAGACTGTGAAGACCAGATCCGAGTCATCATCCAAGAGTCGGCCCTGGACTACCGGCTGGATCCCCAACTCCAGCTGCACTGCTCAGATGAGGTAGGACATGGGCACAGAGCTGGTTGGGGAAGTCCTTTACTATCATGTCCCGTCAGAGCTGGGTCTGGGGTCCACTGAAGCCGATCTTCTGGGCCCTTTATTGACTAAATTCCTGGTTCTTCGCAACAGTGAGTTTGGCTTGTGGTGGTCCTGTACCCTCCAGTGTTGGTTCCTTATTTCTCTGTTGAGTGAGGGCATTCTTTGGTGATAACTGTCCCCCATGACTTGTTTTTTCTTTTCTCTTTATTCTATGTGGTCAATACAGAATGCCCAAATATAGCCCAGAAAGGTTAAAGTGCAAAAGAGCAGAAAGGAAGCGTGTCCTTGGAAGTTACTTGGCTTCATAGCCATGTGGAGACCCCTGTTCCACATATGTTGATGTCAGGAGATCAAAGTTAACATGTTTTAAAGAAGCCTACTATAGAACTTCCCATGTAAAATTAAATTTATTTCTTTGCTATGGGCTTTGTTTTTGAGCCCTTCACACTTCTTGTGGGTGCCAGCAGATTAAAAGTCTGGATCGGGCATTTGCTTTCACTGTTTTACTGGCTCTGTAACCTTCCTCCTGCAGAGCCAGGGACAAGTTCTGGGTCAGGCTGCCTCCGGCCAAGGGTAACAGTAAGGTTACAAATGCAATTACCAGTCTAGCAGCCAGTGTAGTAGAAGAGGCGTGAAGTCCAGCAGGGAGCTGTGTGACCCCCAGGTCTGGTGATGACAGCATCACCCCTTGTTGGTGACCCAGCAGCCAGCCAGCACTGGGGAAGTACAGGGCTCCTTGGATTCTCCAGCTTCTCATGTGCTTTGGAAACTGCTCGTGTCTGTGCTCTGAGTGGAGACCTTGTTGTTGTCTGAACAGATCTCCAATCTCTGTGCGGAAGAAGCAGCAGCCCAAGAGCAGACAGGCCAAGTGGAGGAGTGTCTCAAAGTGAACCTGCTCAAGATCAAGACGGAAATGTGCAAGAAGGTGAGCACCGCTTCCTTTCCACTCACTTCCTTCTCTCCGCCTTCTCTCTTCCTTTGTTGCTGAAGTCTGCACACCTAGTCATGAAATCCGCTCTTTTTTTTTTTTTCAGTTAATTTTTTCTCTTTATTTTTAATATTTTTAAAGATTTATTTATTTGTTTGTTTTTGTTGGAAAGTCAGATATACCGAGGAGGAGAGACAGGAAGATCTTCCATCTGATGAGTCTTATTCCCCAAGTGGCCGCAGTGGCCAGAGCTGAGCTGATCCAAAGCCAGGTGCCAGGAGCTTCTTCTGGGTCTCCCACATGGGTGCAGGGTCCCAAGGCTTCAAGTCATCCTCAACTGCTTTCCCAGGACACAACAGGGAGCTGGATGGGAAGCAGAGCTGCCTGTATACGAACTGGTGCGCATATGGTATCCTGACGTGTGCAAGGCGAGGACTTTAGCCACTAGGCTACCGTGCCAGGCCCCTTTAATTTTATGATACATTTCCATAGACTCTGGGATTTCCCTTACCTCCTGCCCAAACTCCCTCCCCCCAGAAACCCACACTTTTAATCTGGACTAACTGCTAAGCTGCTATTTGAGTACTCTCTCGCTTCTGCGAGCTGCTGGTGTGTATGTCTCCTGTTTGCTATGGAACCACTGTCAAAGGGAACTGCGAGTGCAGTGCTAAAGCAGAATGCCAGAACTGCTCTGTCATTCGACATTCATGAAAATCCAGCAAGTTACAAATTCAGTTCATTTCAGGGCCCGGCGCGGTGGCGCAAGTGGTTAAGGTCCTCGCCTTGCACGCCCGGGATCCCATATGGGCGCCGGTTCTAATCCCGGCAGCCCTGCTTCCCTTCCAGCTCCCTGCCTGTGGCCCGGGAAAGCAATCAAGGACGGCCCAAAGCTTTGGGACCCTGCACCCGCGTGGGAGACCCGAAAGAGGCTCCTGGATTCGGATCGGCATAGTATTGGCCATTGCGCTCAGCTCACTTGGGGAGTGAATCATCGGATGGAAAATCTTCCTCTCTGTCTCTCCTCTCTGTATATCCACCTTTCCAATAGTAAAAATAAATCTTTAAAAAAAAAATAACACAAATTCAGTTCATTTCAAAAATGTGCCATAAAAGCAGACTTATGAAAATGTGGTTACTAAGCTCACATTATTTCGCAGAGTTGAAACTAAAATATCACATTTTTTAGAAAAACTTTGCCTTTTATTTATTGTTTTAAAGATTTATTTCTATTACAAAGTCAGATATACAGAGAGGAGGAGAGACAGAGAGGAAGATCTTCCATCAGATGATTCACTCCCCAACGGCAGGAGCCAGGAGATTCCTTCAGGTCTGCCACGCAGGTGCAGGGTCCCAAGGCTTTGGGCCATCCTCAACTGCTCTCCCAGGCCACAAGCAGGGAGCTGGATGGGAAGTGGAGCTGCTGGGATTAAAACCAGGTGGGATCCCAGTACGTTCAAGGTGAGGACTTTAAACACTAGGCCACCGTGCCAGGCCCATGCCTTTTATTTTTAAAGATTTATTTTTTTAATTTGGAATTAGAACTTCCATCCGTTGGCTCCCTTCTCAAAGGGCTGCAGGTGCCAGGATGGCCCAACCAAAGCGAGAGCTTCCTGGTCTGTCATGTGAGTGGCAGTAGCCCTAATACCTGAGCCTTCCTCCAGTGCTTTCAAATTTTTCTTTCTTTCCTTAAGGAGCCAAGCCCCTACTCATTAGTTCACTCCCCAGATAAGCATAAGAACTCTTTATCCGGGCCAAGGCTTGAAGCTGACTGCAGGTCTGCCATGTGGCTGGCAGGAAGCCGATTACTGTAGCCCTACGGCTGCCTCGCTGCCAACTGGAATCCCTAGCCAGAGCCGGTGTCAAACCCACACTCAGGTGCAAGGCACAGGCACCTTAGTTGGAGTTTTAACCACAGACTAAACCTCCTCCCCTGGGTTTTGGCTTGGTGTGGTTTGGTAGTTTGTTTAGTAACTGTTGCTTCATGTGGATTGTGCCCTGTCTGTAGCGAGCAGCCTGGTTTTGACAGGCCGGTGTCTGGCCTCCTCTCCCTGCTGTGTGCAGCCAGAGTGAGCCAGAGCCTTATGCCTGAGCCGTTTCTGTCCCTTCCTCCCAGAGCATCTTACCTCACAGGATGCCTGGTGTAGAAGTGCTATCCCATCTTCTTTTTTTTTCTTTTGTGTGTGACACAGGTGTCGTGAAACAAAATACCTTTGTTTGATTGGGTGTTTTAATGTAACACATCAGACTCTTTAATTTTTTTTTTTTTTTTCATTTTTCTTGAGAAGTAACAGAATGACTGCATTAACAACTGTAAACACGTGAGGAATACTGAGTGCCTGTATTTTGCCTGCCCCCTCTTGTAGGCTCTGTGGCTGACCCTCAGCCCTCCATGCTTGGCTGTGTGTGTGTGTGTGTGTGTGTGTGTAGAGTTGCAGGCAACAGATCAGATGCATGTCCCTCTATGTAGGCTCTCTCCCTGTTGACCTTTGCTTCCAGGAAGTGTTAAACATGCTGAAGGAGAGCAAAGCAGACATCTTTGTGGACCCTGTTCTTCACACAGCCTGTGCTCTGGACATTAAACACCACTGCGCAGCCATCACGCCCGGCCGTGGGCGCCGTAAGTCGCTGTGTTCGCCCTCGCCCATCCCGGCTCCTGCTGTCTCGGGAGGTCTGGAAGCGGCCCTTCTGGATGTCAGTTGTGCTGCTCTGTTGCATAGCAGCACCCCATCACCCCAGCAGAGACAATATCCCCAGGGCCTGGGTGGTGCCAGGATTAGGCCTTTATAGCATTATTCAGGTTTGGGCCAGCATAGCTCTAACCAGGAGTAAATGTTTAATAAGGGGCCAATCATATGCCAGAAGCAAAAGGTGGGTCCTCACCCTGGCCACATGTCCGCCTTGCCCAGATAACAACAGCTTCCTCAGCTTTCCCAGTGGCCACAGAGGGCTTTGTCAGCAGGCCTTTTGAAGCTGGAACCCCCACAGGTGACAAAGCTGCTTCTGAGCCATGCATGCCTGAGAAAAAGGTGGCCTTTTGAGGTTGGACAGCTAGTCCAGGGGTTAGCCATCGTTTCTCCATGCTGGGGCCAAGGTCAGGTCACAGAATGGATTTTGCTCTGTTGAGCCTCCACACGTGAGTTCTCTGGCCGGCCCCCTGCTCTGCGCCCCCCTGTGTGGCATGCGTTTGTAGAGCCTCTCCTCCGTGCCCTCCCACAGAAATGTCCTGCCTCATGGAGGCGCTGGAGGACAAGCGTGTGCGGCTGCAGCCCGAGTGCAAGAAGCGCCTCAACGACCGGATCGAGATGTGGAGCTACGCTGCCAAGGTAAGCGCCAGCGCCTCCGCCACGAGAGGCCTGCGCTGCTCTTGTTCTTTGGAGGCCTGCCATCCTTGGCTTCCACAAGCCTGGACCCACTGTCTCTGCACGGACCCTGTCTGCAGGCCTTCCCAGGGCCAACCACTGGAAAGTGAATCACCCAAAGGGAGGGGGGCTATCACGCGGCCTCCGCTGTCCCAACACTTCTTTCACGATGTGGGGATATGTGTGTGAGACCGGTACTCGGCTGTCCTGGAACCTGGAGCAGAGCAATAGAATCACGGAATACTAGCGGGTGTGCCTGATGCCCAGGCAGGAATGGGCTGGGGAGATTTTTTTTTCCTGTGGAAGTCCAGGCTCATAGAGAAGAGAGTGCTATGGTTTTCTGAGCCTTGCCATTTTGTAGCCTGCAGAGCAGTGTAATAGGCACCCCCTCATTCAAACATTGAGTCCCCAGGGGGATGCAGTGAGGCTGTCCCTTTGTGGTACAGGTTGACCCTGACCTCAGGCCAGGTCCCCCTTCCTGTAAACTCTGACTGCCTGGTGTAGTCTCAGGTGTTGTTTCAGCCTTCACTAGGGTAGACAGACCCAGTGACCTTGAAGAACTTGACCACAGGCTCGAAGGTCACAGGTTACAAGGCTAGAGGGCCTGATCAGTGGTCTTCATACCTAACTCGAAGGGAGTTGGAGGGGATCGTGTCCGTCACAGAGGCTGCCTCATGGCTGCGCCCTGCCCCTCTGAGTGGCTGTACTTGAACGTGGCTTCACAGTGATCCCTGGTGGTTACCTTGGCCAACGCTGATGGTCACATCTCCATCATCTCACACCTGCCGCTCTGCTGTGTGCACACGGGATGGACACAGGGTCACCCACATGTGCATGAGTCGTTCCCTTCCCTGCATCCGGGCTGATGCTCAGAGCAGCCGGGAGCTTTCCAGCGCCGACAGCACCCCTGCAGCCCTGCAGAGTTCACTGCAGGTGAGCCTTGTAGAGCTGTGTGCGCACTGAGGGAGCAGGGAGGTCTCCTGTCCGGAGCCTGTGTGCATCTCTTTCTCTGTTGAAGATTTATTTTTATATAAATAAAAAGTCAGAGATCTCTTCCATCTGTTGGTTCACTCCTCAGGCAGCTACAGCAGCCAAAGCTGGACCAGGCCAAAGCCAGGAGATTCATCTGTGTCTCGCACATGGGTAGCAGGAAGCCAGATTGGAATTGGAACAGCCACGCTACGAACCAGTGCCCATATGGGATGCTGGATTTAGACGTCAGGTTTACGTGGTACGCCAGAACACCAGCCCCTGCTTGATGCAGGAAGTGCTGATGACAACATCGTGAGAAAAAAACTGGAGGCCTGGGGCTGGCTGCATAGTAGGTTAAGCTTCTGCCTGCATCACTGGCATCCCATTTGAGTGCCAGTTCAAGTCCTAGCTACTCTACTTCCAATCCACCTCTTTGCTTGTGGCCTGGGAAAGTAGCAGAGGATAGCTCAAGTCCTTGGGACCCTGTGCCCATAAGGGAGACCAGGAAGAAGCACCTGACTCTTGGCTTTGGACCAGCTCATTGGTCTTGCGGCCATTGGGGAATGAAACAGCAGATGGGAGGCTTGTCTCTGGCTCTCCTTCTCTGTAACTCTCTAAAATAGTGTTCAGGTAAAAATAAAATAATTCTGAAAAAGAATGCAGAATCAACCATCTCTTCTTTTCTCTGGTTCCTCAGAAAGGCAGCAAACAGGATGAAGAGGCAGAGACAGTGAGCCTTTTCAGGTGACACCCCAGCACACGCGGGTCCTCCTCTGCAGCAGGGTCGGGGAGGGAGGCACGAGGGGCAGGCAGTGTCCGAAGCACTGGGCACCATGTCTGACTGGGAGCAGTCGGGCGTGGGCAATTTGTGATGAGGCCCAGAGCCCCAGCTGTCCAGTGCACATGTTAAAGGGACAGGCCCGCTGTGGCCCGTTCTCAGCGGACGCGTCTCTCTCATTCCAGGTGGCCCCGGCCGACGGCTTCTCTGACCTTGCCATGCAAGTGATGACGTCACCATCCAAAAACTACATCCTGTCTGTGATCAGTGGCAGCATCTGTATTCTGTTCCTGATTGGCCTCATGTGCGGACGCATCACCAAGCGAGTGACACGGGAGCTGAAGGACAGGTAGAGTCGCCGTGACCCCAGAGGAACTGCCTGTGCAGAGCCCGTTTGTACAGCCCTCCTGTATAGTGTCCCCGCTCGCCTCGTGCCTCTCGGAGGTGACACCACACCCACGGTAGAGCAGCAGCAGGCATCCACCGCGCCGCCCCGTCCAGATCTGCCGTGTCTGCCGTGCCTCCTCCTCCTCGGCCCCCGGTGCAGCCTCGGCAGCTGGCCGCTCAGTGACTGCCTTTGCTGGTCGACTCCAGTGTCCCTGCCTGTAGACGCGTCTCGCCCACAGATGGCCAGGACTTCCAGCCCCAGCTCACTGACCTGCAACTCAAACGCTTTTTTTTAAACCCACAAAAAGGAGAAAGCAGTTTTTTGGGAAAGGAGAACACGTGTGCAGTGAGGCTCTTCCTCCTGTGTAACTGTGATATGAAGACAGGTCAGGAGGGAGAGACGCCAGACAGTAGGAAGCCACTGCCCAGGCTGCCGCTGCAGGAGTGATGTTTCCTGTTCCCATGCCACAGGGCCCTGCAGGGCACAGCCACACGGCCACGGGTGTTCCTGTGATCTCATCTCAGTGGAGCAAAGCACAAGCCCCCTTTTGCCAAGGGCTCGTAGGACAGGAGGGCATCAGAAGTTTGCAAAGCTGGATGAGGCTGGGCATCCATCATGCTGCACCCAGATGCTAGGATCCAAGTACCCAGAAACTTCCTCCCCCAGAACTCAGTCACCTCGGATCAGCCCCATGGAAGTCCCCTGCCTCAGCCTGAGGTGTGACTGGGGAGGGGATGCGGTGCAGGCAGGAAGAACAGGGCTCTGGCTGCCTGCTGCGACAGTACTGGTCAGAGGCAGCGGCCTTGAGGGGCTCAGGGTGGGCTCGGCGTGCAGCCAGCGGGCAGCCTGAGCTCTGCACACTCCAGGCAAACTCCCCCGACAAGCTCCTCCGGGCCTCTTCAAGGAGAGTGTGTGCAAGTTCCTACATTAAAACATGGAGGACTTTTCTCCGGTTTTTTCTTTTTGTCGTCTGCTGCGTGTGAGTGTTCTGGTAGGCTTTGGCTCCATGTTGTCCGTTGGTGGTCCATTGCTCTCTTCTAGAAGCCATGCTCCAGAGGGGCAGTATTGCTGACCATCAGGCCTGGGGTATGTGGGGGGCGGCAGCAGCAGCAGCGTGTCCAGGTGGGCATGTCTTCGCCCAAGTGGGACCGTTACAGCCAGGGGCTGCACAGAACGACATGTACAGTAGGAGATATATTTATATAATATATATTTTATTAACCTGTTAGATGTCCACAAAGTATTATAAATCACGTGCCTACAACTGTCCCCACACCACAGCCTGTGCACGGGGCCCTTCCCTCTGCTCCCCGAGAGAGGCCCGTGGAGCTGGCTGTGTTCCCCACAGTGGATCCAGCACGAGGGGCAGCTGCTCCAACTGCCTCCCTCCTACCTGATTGACATCTGTTTGGGTTCTGTGTTTTTCTTCCTTTCCTTTCTCCTTGGCTGCCTTTCCTGGAGGCACTGCATTCCAGGAGCCACCTGTGTATCTGCCCAGGGCAGTCTGAGCCTCCAGGGGGAGCTGCAGAGCCCCGGGCACCCACGGTCAAGCTCTTAGGCCTTTCTAACTCTGCGCCCACGCTGGGATTCTCTAACCACTTACAACTTGAACCACATGACATGTGTGCAACACACCCATCCCACCTGCTTCTGGGGTGCCCCTCTAGGTTGGTTTGGGATGCTGAAGCTTCAGCACGAGTGCTGTGAGTGTGCTACAAGAGCAGGTGCCCCATGGTTGGCAGGACAGGGTTCAGGTCTGCCACCTCTGCCATGTCCCATGTTTCTGTTCTTTCACCTGAGCAAAAAGCCTGCTAGCTGTCCGCAGTAGATGTGAAAAGTATGATGATTTTGGTTTGTGGGATATCTGTTGCCTTTAGAAGCAGTTGGGATAGAAAGAGTCCCACTGTGGTGTCTTCAAATAGCTGTTGTCCCCGTGGAGGAGGTCCCGTGATGGGCCCTTGGGCGCTCCCGGGCAGAAACCTGAACTTCCTTAGGTCTAGGTGACCTGGCACCATCTGCACCCACAGCCCAGCCAAGATTGTTGTGCATCTGCATCTCATTTGCATAATGGGCACGTGGGGTCCTGACCCTGGTGTCCTAGGTCCACCTGGGTGCTCGAGAACCACCTGCTTGAGAGCCCTGCCCCAGGTGCACGAGCCGATGGTGGACCCTGACCCTTGCCTTGATTTCTTCAGATGTGGGAGCTGGTCATGAGGTTTTGCCAAGGTCAGGGCTTCACGCACTTGTTGAAGGACAGTAGCAGCTCCCTGTCCTGTGGCCTCACCGCTGGCTAGGGACTCCTCGCCATCGTGAGTTCCACCACCCGCCAAAGTCCCAGGAGCCCGGGCTGCTGCCTGGAGGCGGTGCAGGGTGGCTGCTCAGAAGCCTGGATCCCGTATCAGGGACCAAATCAGCTGCTCCTGCTGCACATGTGACCCTGGAGCCTGACCTTCACCTTGGCACACCCTGATCTTCACTGCCGCTGTCCCAAGACGAGTCTGCAGGCTAGATGTGCAAACAGGGAGCCACAGCACAGGCCAAGGTTCACACCCATCCTTGCTTCTGTCCTCGGAAGCTGGGGACATCCTCACGCTGCTGACAAGCAAGTGTTACCTCACGTCTCTGCCCTCACTTCCTCTGAGAGGTCCAGGAGACGCCGCTTCCCTGAAAGATGCCCCGAAGGCTGCTGTCAGATTTCATTTCTTCCAAATTATGCAGAACCCAGTGGTGAAGATGTCCACATTGGTACCTTACCAGCCAAGGAGAAAGGGGGTGTGGACAGCTTCTGCATCCTTTCCAAGAGAAGATTCCCCCTGGCAGATGAGCATGGCTTCTGGAACTTTCCTGTCCTTCCCACGTGTGGCACTGTTTCTGTTCCACAGGTCTGCCATGTGTTATACCAGGAGGACAGGTTTGACTGACTTGAAGTAAACGCTTGGGTCCCTCGGGACGAGGTCAGCCCAGCCTGACACAACAGGCCGAGTGTGGGTGCATGGGCACCGACCTCAGCTGCTAGGAGCTGGCCACCTACCGCCTGGGCAGCGTCCTGGCGTCCTGAGCTCTCCTGGCCCTCAAGGACGCTTGTGCAACCCTTCACCACCAAGCTCTGCTTCCCAGGTGCCCCCATCTCCCAGTAACCTCCCCCAGGCCCAGGGCCCCACATCAGAGCAGTCATGTCTAAAATGCAGCTCCCCACCCAACCCAGACAAAATTTTCCAGGAGGTGGGCTCCCCGGAGCCAACTGATTGTTGCCTGGCAAGCAGAGCTGGGCTCTCCCCACCCTCCAGCCCTCTCAGCACAGGGTGGCAGGGGAAGCTGAGGCAGTACCTCTGTCCTGCGCTTTGCCTCCACCCACCACACAAAGGTGGCATCCAGAGCCCAGCAGGGCCTCTGCCAGGTGCCTAGGTCAGACTACGGTGCCCAGGGTAGAGGGGTGTTTGGTTTCTTTTTTAAGCAAGAAAAAAAAAGTACAATGAACGGCCTCTTTGTAAATGGGTTTCCTCTCTGTATAAGACCCTGACAGGTCCTTGTTTTTACATGGTCATGCTGTGTGATTCTGAGATGTTACTGAGATTCTGAACATAATGTGCTTTTTTTTTTTCTGTACAGAATGAAACGGGAGAATTTAATAAAGAGTTTGCAGGTTTTTACTTGTTACATCTTCTCTGTGGTGACTGGGAGGAATCTCCAACCACCTGCTTGGCTCAGACACGCTTGGGGAGCTGCAGGCAGGGCCTGTACTTGCCAGCTGCTTGCTGTTCACACCCCAAGCTCCCGGTCTGTGTAAGAGAGGGAGCCTGATGTGTCCCGAGTCACTGCAGCCTGTCCCTGGGGTGGAACAGGCCTGCGGACTGTGCCCGAGTGCCACCCTTGCACACAGTCCCCAGGTCTGAGGCCTGTGCGGGCCTCTCTTCCTGCCTTGCTCTCAGTGGAGCTAGCCTGTGGGTTTTAAAAACAACTGCCTGGTAGTGGGGGTTTCTTGAAGTGGTAACATCCCTACTGCAGTCACAGTGACACGTCATGTAGTAAGAGAGAAAACAGTGACCTGGGGTGCAGGATGGCTTTGCAAAACACCTTGAATTTGCAGTCATCAGCCGCCACGTGGAGGCTGGTAAGTATGGGAGGGCAATGGAGGAAGGGTGGATGAGAAGGGAGAAGGGGCCTTGGGGGCCTGGGACCTGAGTGCTGGCTGCTCTGGCTCCTCTGCCCAGGGAGTCTGGGGCAACCTTCAGGCATGCATCCTACCCCCATCCTGTGCAGGGGACCTTGCCTCCAGTTCCATGTCAGCACTCGGCCCAGCCCCAGGGGGCGCCATAGCACCAGCACCCTGGCCTGAACCGCGCAGCAGAAACCCTAGACTGAGCACTGTTCTACTGCTGTGATTTCTGTGCACAGAATGGGGCCTGCTTGTCCGACACGGATCCTTCCAGATGCAGAGGTGGGAGCTGAGGGGCCAAAGCTGTGGGCAGTGCATCTGCCCTGCATGGATGACCACACCAGAACCCTCCCTCATGTCTGCCAGATTCTAGGGGGTTCTGAGGGCTCTTCTGGGAGCCTGTGCAGCTATCTCCCTATCCCTCCAGGCGTTGCTGACCCTGGACTCACATCACCCCCAAAACACCCACAGCACAGCAGTGAGGCTGCAGACGCCCTGTGTCGATACAAGCTCAGAGAGGCAGAGAAGCGGGCATTTCTCCTGGGGACAGGACTTGATCTTTCCTGCATGGCCTCACAAGGCAGTGTCTGCTGTTCTCCTGGAGCCTGGAACCAGGCAAGACCAGCACCTCATCCAGGGCACAGTCAGGACTGGGCTTCCCCAGACAGCAGGAGACCACGTCTGTGAGGGTCTGCTCTGGGCTTGTGAAGGACAGGCCAGCAGAAAGCTCTGTCTCATTCTGGCTCCACAGGCTACTGCCCCATGCCACCACCAGGGCTCCTCCCTGGTCACTTTGTCCTCCCAGGGGTCGTTCCCATTCCCGTTTCACAGGTGGGAGAATCCCTCTTCTCTCCAAGGATAGGGGTAGGTTTTGTCCCCTTTGCTGCACAGCTAGACTGGCAACGAGGGGGCCAGCAAGGGACGGGAGGGCCCTCCTCAAGCTGGTGGCAGAACCTGGGCAAGACCAAGCTGTGTTTGGCACTTCCCTAGGCATAATTTCTCTCTCTCTCTCTTTTTAAGGTTTATTTATTTTTATTGGAAAGGCGGATATACAGAGAGGAAGAGAGAGGAAGATCTTTCGTCCGATGATTCACTCCCCAAGTGACTGCACCAGCTGGAGCAGAACCAATATGGATCGCTGAAGTCGCAAGCAGCAGCAGCTTATCATGCCGCGCCACAGCCTTGTGGCCTTCCAACCCCCCCCATCCGGTGCCCAAGGACTTTGGAAACAGCTGCTAAAAATACTCTTCCCACCTGCTGTTCTCTGTCCTTGACAAGCAGAAGCAAGGGAGATGTTGGCAAAGGACGGGACGTGAATCCAAATGTAAAAATTTTTACTCCAGAGAGCAAAGTTGTTTTTCTAAGGGACGTTTCGCACACAGGGAGCCAAGAACCAGAGATGCTACGCTTCAGACGCTCCACAGCTGCTCGGGACGGAAGGGAGCCCGCGCTCGCCCGCGCCTGCGCCGCCCACGCCGCCCTCGCGGTCACGCCCCGACCTGGGCGGGGCCTCGCGAGACCCAAACAAGCCCACGCGGCGGGGGCGGGGCCGCCGCGGTGACGTCACGGCACGGCCGGGGCGGCGCGCCCGCCGTACCCTTGCGGAGGGAGCGTCGAGCGCGGAAGGTCGCGGCCGCGGCTTCCTCGGAACTTTGTTTCTCGGGGGTCGCGCCGCCTCAGGGCGCCCGGTCCTCGCTGCCGGCCTGCCGCGACCCCCGGCGACCGTCGCGGACGCCCGCTCGCTGCCGCCGAGCCGTTCCGGAGCGGGAGCCCGTGGGGCCCGTGGGCCCGTGAGGTGAGCAGGCGGCCGCGCGGCCTCAGCGCCCCGGGACCCCCGGCGTCTGCGCGGGCGCCTCGGTGTGGCGCGGGGTCCCGGGGTTCCGTGCCCCGGGCGTGCGTGGCGCTCGGTGGCCAGGGCGGCCGGTGGGCTGGCGGGTGGCGGCCCCTCGGCGTGGAGCCGGCTGGTGCGTCTGGGCAGGTGCGGCGGCTTTTCCCGCGTTGAGGCGCCGGCTGCGGCCCAGCTGTGCTTCCCGCAGGACCGGGCGAGTGTGGGGAGTGGGGCGGACAAGGGCGGGCCGCGCCGTGAGCTGTCGTGTCGGTGTGTGTGATGGGCAGAGCCGAGCCCGGAGTCAAGTGCATTTGGCCTAGGCGGTGGTGCCTCGCACCCAGCTGGAGGATCCGCTTTGTCAGTGTTGGGGCCGCCTGGGCGTGTAAGGAGCCGCGGGGTCAGAACCTCCTGGTGTGTGGACTTATGGTTTTGTGTACCCGGAGCTCAGAGTTCCATCTGCTGATTTACTACTCGGGAAAACTTGCAGCATCTGTTGCTGGGCCCTGTTGAAGCTAGGGGGGCGGGGACTGAGTCCAGGGCTGTCAGGTGCTTAAGTGGGCCTGGGGCCCGAGCCCCTGATCTGCACCGGCTGCGTTCTTTGCCCAGACCTGGAGCAGGTAGCTGTGTGGGCTGGAGTGAGTAGCCAGGTATTAAGAACTACAAGGCTGGTTTCTTCTGCTCAGCGTAGAAATAAAGGCCAGGAAACAACCTTCAGGAAGTATGGCAAAAGTTTGTTTATGCAAGAGAAGGTGAAGCGCCCCATTGGAGATGCCACAGCGGAGGGCTGAGCGAGACACTCGTGGCCATCAGGTGTCCCGGCGTTCTGAGCCTTCAGTCCTGTTGGGTGGCCCAATGGAGTGGGGTTCCAGTCCTGGCTCCGTCTGTTCCGGCGGGACTGGAATTTATCTGTTTACAGGTTTGAATTTTGGTTTGCATTTGGTGGAGACTCGCCGTAACTTTCTCTGTTGGTGGGGATAGCGCGTGGGTGGCAGTTCTGTCATCTGTGTCCACCAGAGGCCAGTTTCTGGCATTGGGAGCCTTTGGAAATTCTTGTTGCCAAGGCCCTGAGTCCGGCCTCCCCAGGAGTGGAAACCCACACTCAAGTGGGGTGTTGTGCCCCTTGCTGCGGCTTAACCCAGTGGGTGCCTGAGTGTGTGATTGTTACGAATTCCTTCAGCTGAGGGTAAACTGCGTAAATGTGTGTAATATGTATGCATGCAAATGTTTATTTTTATTTAAAAGGCAGATTTTGCATAGAAGAAGTAGAGAAAATCTTGAGTGCTGGTTCACTCCCCCAGTGGCTCCAACAGCCAGAGTTGAGCTGATTGAAGCCAGGAGCCTCTTGTGGGTCTCCCACGTGGGCACAGGCTCCCGAGGACTTGGGCCATCTGCTGCTGTTTCCCAGGCCATAAGCCGAGCGCTGAGTTGTAAGTGGAATAACCAGGACACGAACCAGTGCCCGTATGGGATGCCGGTGCCTCAGGATTCAGGATTAGTTGCTGTACTACCATGGTAGCGCCTGGTTAAGGGGAGCAGTGTAAGATTTGTTTATTTATTTGAAAGGTGCACTTAGGTCTTTGATCCATGAGTTCACTTCCAGTACTCTTCTAGGTCAGGAGCCAGGCGCTCCATCTAAGTCTCCCATGTGAGTGGCAGCTACCCAAAGCCTTGTCCCTTCCTCCACTGCTTTCCCAGGCCCTTCCAGGGAGCTGGGTTGGAAGTGGAGCAGCACAGACTTACAGTGAGATACTGGTGCTGCAGCCAAAAAATTAGCCAGCTGTGTCATTGCATTGGCCCTGATAAATGGATATATATTTTTAAAGATTTATTTATTTTTATTGGAAAGTCATATATAGAGAGGAGGCGAGACAGAGAGGAAGATCTTCCATCTGATGACTCATGCTGCAATGGCCGGTGCTGCGCCCATCTGAACCCAGGAGCACAGAACCTCTTCTGGGTCTCCCATGTGGGTGCAGGATCCCAAGGCTTTGGGCTGTCCTCGACTGCTTTCCCAGACCACAAGCAGGGAGCTAGATAAGAAGCAGGGCTGCTGGGATTAGATTCGGCACCCATGTGGGATCCCGGGTGTGTGCAAGCCAAGGACTTTAGCAACTAGGCTATTGTGCTGGGCCCTGTTATGCAGATTTTTTTAAAAAGATTTTTATTTTTATTTTTATTTTTATTGGAAAGGCGGATATACAGAGAGGAGAGAGAGAGGAAGATCTTCTGTCCTATGATTCACTCCCCAAGTGAGTGCAATGGCCGATGCTATGCCGATCCGAAGCCAGGAGCCTCTTCCGGGTCTCCCACGTGGGTGCAGGGTCCCAAAACATTGGGTCATCCTCAACTGCTTTCCCAGGCCACAGGCAGGGAGCTGGATGGGAAGTGGGGCCGCCGGGATTAGAACCGGCGCCCATATGGGATCCTGGGCGTGCAAGGCGAGGACATAACCACTGTGCCATCGCGCCGGGCCCTGCAGATTTTTAAATAAACTTTTATATACCCATAGTGTTTTCTAGGTGCCTATGCTGAATGTCAAAGTCCCTACCTTCAAAGATTTCAGTTTTGGTAAGGGAATATTTACCACCATTTACTAATGACTCTTAGGTGCCAGTTGTCATATTCTTTCTGAATTGTCTGATTAAATTGTTGCAGCAATAATGTAAGATGAATTGCTACCCATGTTACAGTGAAGAATCTGAAGCATAGAAATCGAATTACAAACTCCAAGACAGTTAAAAAGAGAAGGAGGCCATGGATGTGGGAGGGGTGTCCAGTAGCATGTCAGGTAAGCTGGTGTTGCAGGAGATTGTCTTCATCTGGGGAGAAGAGACAGGAAGTGTGGCAGGCGGGAGAGCAGCCTGTGCCCAGGTCCTGGAGGTGGAAGTTCACACCTGACATGGTGGAGGAATTACAGGAAAAATGACAGGAGAATTAAGAAATCCTTTGTGAGGGGCCTTGCCCTGAGGGCAGAGGGAGTCCTGGGCGCCGTGCTCTGAGAAGAGGGTGTGTGAGACAAAGGTGTGCAGGGCTCGCCTGGCAGCCCCCAGGAATCCACGGGGAGCCCCGGGACAGTTTGTGTGCAGGTGCTGGCAGTGGAGACAGCGAGCAGCACCTGGATTGAGGTGTAGACGCCCTGGTCTTGATGGCTGCACAGGGGACATGAGGGAGAGGGAAGCGCTCAGGACAACCCCAGGGGTCCAGGAGTCCGTATCCCCGGGGACGAAGGAAGTGGGCAGTGTGGAGGTGGGGAAGGTGGGTTCCTGTTGGGTGTGCTTGGTGCAGCTATGGACTGGGTGCAGTGGGCCCTCGGCACTGCACTTGCAGGTCTGCAGTGGAGGGTTGTGGTGGGTGAGCCGGGAGTCGCAGTAGAGTCGGCAGCCACTGTGGGAGAGGGTGCAGAAGTGGAGAAGGAGTGGGTCTCAGAACCCTGAGGGACTGCAGGGCACCAGGGATGTGGTGGGCAGGATGGGGAGGGGGAGCCAGCAGTGATGCCATCAGAGAGGGTGCTGTGGAAATATCTCAGGGCACCATGTGAGGGAGGAGTAGCCAGTGGTGTTGGCAGCTGTAGGAAGGTCAAGTGCATGGATGGTGCCCAGGAGTGTCCTTGGCGATGCAGCTGAGAGCACTGTCTGTGGTGTGGTGGACAGACCCCCCCCCCCCAGCTGCTAACGTTTTTGTCTCAGGGTAGAGCAGAATGTAGAAAGTAATGACCAAAAATACACATAAATCTTTCCTTTTAAAAATTTTGTTTTTGTTGGAAAGGCTGATCAGATTTACATAGAGAGACAGAAAAATCTTCCATCCATTGGTTCATTCCTCAAGTGGCCGCACCAGCCGGAGCTGAGCCAATTCAGAGCCAGGAGCTTCTTCCTGGTCTCCCACACCGATGCAGGGTCTCAAAGCTTTGGACCATCTTTTGCTGCTTTCCCAGGCCACAAGCAGGGAGCTAGAAGGAAATTGGAGCAGCTGGGACATGAACCATATGGGATGCTGGTGCTTGGCAGTAGAGGATTAATCAGTTGAACCTTCAGAGCAGCCCCAGTTGGTCCTCTCAGAGATAGAATGAAGGGCTGATACATCGGTATAGTAAGTGAAGTCTCCATCCAAAGAACCCACATCCCATATGGATGCCAGTTCTTGTCCCAACCATTCCACTTCAGATCTATCCCCCTGCCAGTGCCTGGGAAAGCAGAAGAGGACAGCGCAAGTGCTGGGACCCCTGCGTTCGTATGGGAGACCTGAGTGAAGGTTCTGGATCCTGGCTTCAGCCTGGCCCAGTGCTAGCCATTGTAGCCATTTCAGGATTGAGTCATGTGATGGAAGAGCTCGAATTTTGCCTTTCGAGTAAATAATGTTAGGAAGCAATATGATGGACAAGCCAGTTTGTTTTTTATGGTAGTGTGGTATGGGCATCTCTACTGGCTGTGTGGTCCAGGATAGAGCCGATACAGGTGCTCCGGAATCACCAACATTTGACTTAGGAGCTGTGGCTTCTGGTGGGGACAAAGTAGCAGGCATTCAGTGGTCAGTGTAGCTGGTTTCTGACATTGTTCTCATGCCCACACTAGCTGTGGTGGCCATATTGTTTCCGGATGCTGGGAAAGCAGCCAAGCAGAGTCCTGTTGGTCCCTCCGTCAGGAGGGGACATTACCATTCTGAGCAAGAGCCTAGTGCAGCCATGTTTGGAAGATTGTGTTTTCCCGTCATATCTACAGAATGCACATGGGAGTCTATGTGAGATTTCCGAAAGCTTCTTCTAGAATACGATTGCATTCGGCGATTTGGTGCGATGTTGTCTGATGTGAGTATTTGAGCATGTGTAAGGTGCCAGGCCGCGCTATGGTTTTTAGTGGGTTTGGTGTGTTAAATGCATTTTTTAAAAATATTACCTTTTATTGTCATTTTATGATAGTTCTATAGGCCCTAGGATTTCCCCCTAAATGCATTTTTAAAAGGTTAATTTAGGGATCAGCATTGTGACAGTATGGGTTAACCACCATTTATGATGCTGGTGGCCCACACTGGAATGCCAGTTCATGTCCTGGCTGCCCCACTTCCTGTTCAGCTTCATGCTAATGCCTGGGAGCGCTAACCCCGCTCCTTAAGTGGAAGACCAGGATGGAGTTCCAGGCTCCTGGCTTTGGCCTGGCCCAGCCCTGGCTGTCGTGGCCAGTTGGAGATAACTGTCACTCTCCCTCCCTCTCTGTTGCTCTGCCTGTAAATACAAATAAAACTCTTTTTTTTAATTTTTTTTAAAGATTTATTTTTTTATTGGAAAGGCAGATATACAGAGAGGAGAGACAGAGAGGAAGATCTTCCGTCTGATGATTCACTCCCCAGGTGAGCTCAACGGGCCGATACTATGCCATTCTGAAGCCAGGAGCCTCTTCTGGGTCTCCCACACGGGTGCAGGGTCCCAAAGCTTTGGGCTGTCCTCCACTGCTTTCCCGGGCCACAGGCAGGGAGCTGGAAGGGAAGCGGGGCCTCCGGGATAGAACCAGCGCCCATATGGGATCCCGGGCGTGCTAGGCGAGGACCTTTAACCACTTGCGCCACCGCGCCGGGCCCAAATAAAACTTTTTTATATTTATTTGAAGACCAGGAGCTAGGAACTCCATCAGGGTCTCCTATGTGAGTGATAGGAGCCCCCCAAGTGTATTAGCAGGAAGTTTGGTTGGAACTGGGGAGCTGGCAGTCACAGGTGCTTGATACACATCTTGTGTGTATCAAGCCTGCTCTGCAGCCTCTTCCCCAAAACACATTTTTGCCATGATATTCTCAGCTGATGTGATGGCTCCATTGAGACCAACTCATGGAAATGGAAGAGAATGTGTCTATTGAAGACACAGGGTCAGGCATCTCGGTGTTGGAAAAGGAAGTTACAGGAAGGAACCCTGTAGTGTTGGGTTGGAATTGAAGGCCCCGGTACTAAGTCCTGGTATGTAGTAAGAGTGGGGAAGAGGAGCTATTTTCTTTTGCTTTGGTTTTTATCTGAAAAGGAGATTTTTAAAAAAGATTTATTTTTTTTAAAGATTTTTTTATTATTATTTTTTTTTATTGGAAAGGCAGATATACAGAGAGGAGAGACAGAGAGGAAGATCTTCCGTCCGATGATTCACTCCCCAAGTGACCGCAACGGCCGATGCTATGCCGATCCGAAGCCAGGAGCCCCCTCCGGGTCTCCCACACTGGTGCAGGGTCCCAAAGCCCTGGGCCGTCCTCGGCTGCTTTTCCAGGCCACAGGCAGGGAGCTGGAAGGGAAGCAGGGCCGCCGGGATAGAACCAGCGCCCACATGGGATCCCGGGCATGCAAGGCAAGGACCTTAACCACTGCACCACCGCGCCGGGCCCGATTTATTTATTTTTATTGCAAGGTCAGATATATGGAGAGGAGGAGAGACAGAGAGGAAGATCTTCTGTCCGATGATTCACTCCTCAGGTGAGCACAATGGCTGGAGCTGAGCCAATCCAAAGCCAGGATCCAGGAGCTTCTTCCGGGTCTCCCACACAGGTGCAGGGTCCCTGGGTTGGGCCATCCTCTGCTGCTTTCCCAATCCACTAACGGGAGCTTGGGTTGGCAGTACAGCAGCCGGGACTCAAACCAGCACCCATATGACATGCTGGCATTGGCATTGCAGGAGAAGGATTAACATACTATACCACTGCCAAGCTTGCAAATACACAGATCTTTAGGGGAAAAAAAACCAAACTGACTTAGGAAAGCAAATGAGGCCATGATGGCGTCCAGAGTTAGGGAAGGCCCAGCCCAAAGACTTGCTCTGGACCAAACACCACAGTCTAGGATTTTGAGGGGCTGGACCAAATGGTCGCCCAGATGGAAGGGCCTGGGGTCTGTCCTTGGACTGCATGGAGCCTTTCACAGGAACAGGGGCTGAGGATAAGGCCCAGCCCTTTGTGAGGCTGCACCAAGAAATCCCTGCTGAGTTCCTCCTTGTGCAGAGGCCAGACTGCAGGGAACTGTGGGAGGAGTTTCAGGGGTACAGCTGACAACACGCACCCGTCAGGAGGATGAGCGCCACCTGCTGGTCTCATGCGGTTACAAGCAAGGTTGAGCCCTTTGAGGCTACCACCATATCATCTCCTTAAAGATTGTCGGGTGTTCTCCTCACAAGAATGACCCACTGTGTGTTGTCTGTGTGTTGTGTGTCTTGTCTGTCTCATAACCCTAGTCCCTCCGCTCGGCTCGGGGTGCGTGGTGACGCGGGCGTTGCCCACAAATGGAGGTTCCACCGAGATCTGAGAAAGAGAGGATACACGACGAAGGGTCGTCCCGGGAAGCTGGCCAGCAGGTAAGTGGGACGTATTGTAAGTCTTTCCTAAACTGGTAGGAAAGGGAGTTTTATTTTGAAATATAGGTAGGTTTAAGATTTATTTTGAAATATAGTTAACATTTTAAATTTATTTTGAGGCATAGTTAGGTTTTAGATTTATTTTGAAATATAGTAAGGTCTTGGTGTTTAATTCATCCTGCGAAAAGGACAATAAAATGGGTTCAGCCTTCTCCCAGGATAAATTGGTCACTGAGCTTGAAGAACTTCTACATAAAATGGGGAACGCTGTTGGTCAGAACAGGCTGACCAGAGAGTTAAGCAGTTCAAGCAAGGTAGATTTAAAATAAATAAAAGAAAAAAAAAGAGAGAAAAAAAGGGAAAGTAAGAGAAAAAAGATTAAAGAAAGACATGTGTTCTGTAACTTAATTTAGCAAAAATAATCTGATGTAGAGTGGTCCACTGTTAAATTAACTTAAAACATGAGAGGAACCTA